TTTTCTTGTTATGACGGAAAACCGATTGGGAAATTTACCCGTTTTAAGATGATACGAAGTCCTCTACAGTCTTTCCCTACCCTGAAAATTTGTATAGTGTGCCACTCTACCCCAGGAAACTAGGGAAGCGTAAATTCGCGGCCAAGTAGACAAAAATACGGCATATTTTGTATGTTTCGCTGCGAATACGCGCTAACTGTCAAATGCAGAGTAAATGGGGGAATAAAATGTTTATTGGGCGAAGAAAATATATCGCTTTCATAGTCGTAAATAGATAATGTTTTATCCGCCATTTTGAAATTAGCCGATACTCAATGAATGAATGATCCGAACTGTTCATATCTTATATTTTCTCCCATTATGAGACCAAAAAAAAAATTATAATTTCTATATATTATATATATTAATGTTTCATTTCTTCGTAAATTTTTCTTTCGGAAAATCAATAATTATATTTGGGTAAAAAAAAGTTAAAAATTGAATTTAAAATGTTTTATATAACTGAGCTCTGGTAGTTTTCGATATTTAATCCACTCTACTAAAAAAAATGGCCTCCAAATTATAAATAAAAAAAACTTAAACCCCCATAATCCCGATTTTTTTTCTAGGGAATGCCGCACTACGACAAATGACCTAAATAAAAGATTGAAATTTAAGGTTTCACGCCATTATCCCAATACTATTCCTCGTTTTTTTAGTGGTTTCCTGAGATTGAAAGAAAGAAATAACACAATATAATAGCTCATCATCCACATGATTTTTTAATAAGAAATAATTTGCATGCCCGGCTCGGGTTTTATATTTTCAGACCCGGCTCGGTTCATTTTTAAAATATTTTAAAATCCGGGCCGGGCCCGTAGGCCTCTAGAAATGGTCAAATATCATTTGAAATATCTTGCAAGAGGTAGAATTATGTTTGGTAAAAAAAAAATTGTATATCGATCTCGTAAAAACAGGGTTGGCAAGTCGGTCAATTGACCAGTCAAATTCAGTCAATTGACCAGTCAATTGATAGAAGGAGTATTTGACCTGGTCAAATACGGTCAAATACTCAAAAATGTTACTGGTGAATAACTATATTTATTTAATGAACTAATAAGTATTTAAAGCATATTTATCAATCTAATTTGTTTACAAATTATTTTAAAATATATTTGTATCATCAAGGCATCGATTTTAAATATAATTTTATATAAAAATATAAAATTTTCTTATTAAAATATTAAGAATTTTTCTCATTATTAATTTGATTGGATCTAAATATATAAATAAATATAAAAATTTTACTTAAACATGGTTCGAAAAAATTACTAATTGCCAATTTATATTACATTATGTACAATTATCCAAACAAGATGGATATCATGAATAAAATGTAATGAGCAAATATAAATATGCAAGAAAGCACCGAAAGCAGCTGTTGAAGAAGTCCGTGAGAAATTATCAATAATATATTAAATGATATTTTGGACAAAAAATTTAAAATTTTAAACTGTTCATAAACATTTAGCTATCTTATTGACCTTGGCTTACATAAAAAACGGGATGCTTAATTTAGAAAACACATAATACAATCATGTCCATGATTTTATAATTTACCAACCTAAAGAAAAAAATATTAAAGATAAGTTTGATAAAGAAAACAATCCAAACACATGTGCTCTCACTGCACTGCTGATTATTTATTGGATTCCCAATATAAGGGGAGCATCTTACTTTAGTTTGATGAAGCATATGACATGATACAAAAATTAGTCGTTTCATAAAGAGATGATCATCAAAATATTTTAAGTGAAATCATGAATTTCAGAAGTAAAAGCGGAGTATTTAGTAGCCAAAGTATGTGGAAACCAGTAACTTTCATAAAAAAAACAATCAGATTTTGGGCTCAAGTTGTTGGAATGGGCCTTGTTCACATTGAATATTAAGAGAAGTGTCTAAGAAATTCGATTGAAGATCTCGACAACCAGAGAGTTGGTAGGAGTATATCATAACCTAAGACTGATTAAAAAATGTTGAAGAAAATGATAAGATTGAATATAAATTAGAACAAGGCTCTACCATAAAGAGCGAAACATTCATCATAGAATTTAGAAAATAATTTAATATCCATACATTATTTACTATTATATATAAAATAGAATTAATAGTCTTAAAAAACATTTGTTTGAATTTTGATCATATTTGACCGTATTTGACCGGTCAAATTCACAACCCATGATCAAAATATAAGCAAACTATATAAATACGGGTAAATCCGTTGTAACGCCCATTCGCTTTCTACAAATTTCTTAACTCTCCCCGCATTCCTAAAGGAGATAAAGAAATATGGGGGAGGGGGGGGGGAATAAAATTAAAAATGCTATCAATTTTCGTAGAACTGAATTGAGTTATTAACGAAACTTTGGTGGAAGATTATTTAATCTAAAAGAAGGCAACAGGAAAAGAAATTGGTTTATTTATCGTTATAAAAAATAAAGAATTAAAATGTTTTTAAAAAACCGCACTTATTATTTATTTTTATTTAAAAAAAATAAAATAATATTAACCGGTCAAATTAATTAAGTTTTAAATTTTTTAAAGGTGCACGTGAACCATTATAATTGATAGATTATTGTTACGAAACACCTGGTATTTAAAAAGGGGTTAAAATATGAGTGTGCCATTCTTTCCTTCTTTTCTTTCTTTCTTTCTTTCTTTCTTTCTTTCTTTCTTTCTTTCTTTCTTTCTTTCTTTCTTTCTTTCTTTCTTTCTTTCTTTCTTTCTTTCTTTCTTTCTTTCTTTCTTTCTTTCTTTCTTTCTTTCTTTCTTTCTTTCTTTCTTTCGGATAGTGGGGTTGGGTATACATTAAATAATATAGGGCGAGGGCCTGGTATTGGCTTAGAATTTTGAAAAGTGTAATAATTTTTTGCAATATTTTTTCGAATTCTAGAATTATTTTGGACAATTTTTATATTCAAAATAGCTTATTTATTTATTTATTTTCGTTAAAGTTTCGAAAGTTTGTGAATTTATTAATTTTTTTTCGATATTTTGGGCAGCATAAAATAAAATGAAAATAAAAGATATATTTTATCTTCCCTTATTTTTTTAAACGTTAAATTCAATTATTGATTTTTGGGGGACATATTTATTCAATGAGGATATTTTTTTTTATCCCCAAAATGTGTTTCTCGAAAATTCCCTGGGTACCGTGTGGAGACTAAATTTGTGGTTTAAGTGCCTTTTTTTAAAAAATATGTAGTTTGGTTATCTTGGTCGATAAATAGCCATACTCAAATGTTTTTTGTTCCAAATAATATAAACATAACTCCACCCCCACCCCTCGTATTTGTGGTTTTTTAGCCAAATCGGGCAAACCAGGTCGATCTTTATTTTCGGATAATTAGTGAGAACAATTTTTGCGGATCGATTTGGACAACTCTTAACAAATTTTTATATCCCGGCCCAAAAATCGCTATATAACGGGCCGAGTCGGGTTCAAATTTTAAAATTCGTCTTAAGCGCTATTTATAACTCATAACTCAGCCCGAAGTAATAACGGTTCGGGTCGGGCTTAACTTTTTAAAATTTGTTCTAAGTGTATTTTATAACCCGGTCCGAAAACCGCTATGAAGATAATGACAGGCCGGGTCGGGTTCAAATTTTAAAATTCGTCTTAAGCGCTATTTATAACTCATAACTCAGCCCGAAGTAATAACGGTTCGGGTCGGGCTTAACTTTTTTAAATTTGTCCTAAGTGTATTTTATAACCCGGTCCGAAAACCGCTATAGATAATGACAGGCCGGGTCGGGTTCAAATTTTTAAAATTCATTTTAGCATACGATTTCTTTGAACCTGAATCTGCTTCATTTAATCCCACGACCATAATATTTTTTTTTTAAGTATGGTTATTTATCGACCAAGGTCACGTAAAAACATTAGTCTTTTAGAATGAATGAAAGAAAGAAAGAAAGAAAGGAAGGAAGGAAGGAAAGAAAAGAAATTAACAACTATAAAATAAATAATTTCATTAATTTTTTGCATATAATATATACGCTAATATACTTGACTAAAATATAGTTTTTATATACATATTTAAATGAAAATGTAGGCCTATGTTTACTTAAACTCTTTTTTTTTTGTCAAAGGAAAAATATTTTTTCTTGCCTCGAAAAATCACTTGTTAATAACCTTAAGTTATAAAATATTTGCCTCACATTCTCTGGCCTCTATTAATTAAAAAAAAAGAAGGAATCAGCTGTTATGTAAGTAAGGACTTGGATCGCTTTTTATAAAAATGGCTCGATTTTAGCCAAAATAATGTTTTATGTAAAGCCCAATGATATATAATAATACCTAGCCTGACGACACATTCATAATAATGCATTTGAAAAGTGTCGTTGAATGCAAATCAGCTGGACCCGCCATTTTGATAAACCGTATAGTAATTATTCTCATGTTAAAAACTATACTAAATTGATACCTTGCTTCCTTTTTATCTCGATGGATCAGGCATTTCTTTAACAAAGTTTGCGTCAGACTCAGAACATAGGAATAAAATTGACCTCTCGTTTAAAATTTTTAATAATGATATGGGTAACCAAAATGGCGTCCCCAACTGTTTTCATTGAGGTACACTTTTAATGAATGCATCGCCATTCTAGCTATTATTATATGTAAAGCATGAATCATATCGTAGACGACAGAAAGGTTTGGAACCTCTATTTGTCAAAATTTCGAGGCCTTACCATTAATATTATTTAATGGCAAAAAATCTTAATCTGGTCGTTATTGAACTTTTTAACGACCACAAGTTAGGAATTGCCGCTCCCTGCTATATTCCTCTTTTTTTTTCTTTTATATTCCTTTCCATTCCTTTATTCCTATTTGTTTTCTTCTTTTTTTTTATTACTTTAGAAATAAACTTAATCATTATTATGGAAATATAATTTAAGTTGAAGCTTAAAATAGTTACGGTTCGAAAATTTTTAAAAAATATAATTAAAATCCTTAATAGGTTTCCGTGGTCAAACTCAAGGAAGAAGCGAAACGCGGAAAGTCTGGCAAAGGTTCTGACGCCAACATATTCGCCCTTAAAACGCTCAACAAATCCGAAATCATCAAAAGGGCCGAAGTTATTTAAAGAAAATAATATTTTGTGCAGATCTGTGTTATATTTTTTGAATAGTCATTGGAAGACTAAGAAAGAAAGAAAAGAACGAAAGTTCATTTACTATTATAATATGGTAAGGGGAAGATAAATTCCCCGGGGGAAAAAATTTGCGAGGAAGTAGGGGGTGTGGGAGCTGGGATATTTTTGAATTTTTTCCCCCTGAAGTTATTCTCCGCTATTCATATAATGCATAGTAATATAAAATCTGTTATTTTATTTTTTTTTAAAAAAATCAGACTATATGCTACATGGAAGAAAAGGACATCATGATTAATGGAGATTTGTTATGGCACGCTCATTTACATTACTCCTTCCAAAACAAGGATAACTTGGTATTTTCTGCGATAACCGCGAATTCCCAACTTTATTTTTTTATACGAATCTTTAATCAGATTACGTTTTAATACTTATCTTTGTCCAATTATGCAATGTTTAAATGGCTCCGATAAATTTGTTTGCCCCGCCACGAATCTAATGTTGTTAAACGGCTCGATTTGATCCAATCCGAGCCCGAAGATCCTGGTCATAGATGGCACAAGGATTTGGACATCTATCCGCAAAATTTAGAGGCGTGAGACATATATTTCTGGCTAAAATATTGAGTTAGTATTGTTAGAAAGAGGTTCGAATCGAGCCGTTTAATAACACCACATGAAATCAAAAGAAGAACAATATTTTCTTTTTCGGGGTCAAATTTCACCCTTGAATTGATCTGATTTTGATGGCCGGGTCGGTCGGGCGTATAGATCGAAAATTTAACATTAGGGGGTATATAGTCTCCTTTAAATTTTATAATATTGAGATGACAGGAAAACGATCACTTCCAGATTACGGAGATTATATATTAGATCATTATTATTATTATTATTTAAGTATCTAGTTATGGATTATTATTGCGGCGGCGATCTACTTACGCTGCTAAGCAAATACGACGATAGAATGCCGGAACAAATCGCTAAATTTTACATTATGGGTATATATATATAAATATATAAAATTGTATGTATTGCAAGAACAATCTTATATAATTACACGTGATTTCCCATAAATGTTTCTGACAAAAATGACTCATATAGATAAAAAAAAGACGAACAAAAAATCCCATCCTATCTTTATCCCAAAGTTGAAAATTAAAACAATAAAGGGGTAAAAATTAAGAGAGAGAGAGAGATTATAGATGTATGTGACATATGTCAATGTAGACCATTTTTTTTTAACCTACTACTATATTTTTATTATGGATAAAGTCTCTTTAACCCTATTTTCTTTCTTTCAACGCGTACAAAATGGTTTATAAATCACGCAAGGTATATTAACCAGGATCGAAAAAACTTGCCGCACCTCAGGTCTGTAAATCACACTTGCCAAATCAAAAAAATAATTATATTTTATAAATAAAAAATACTGTCAATCACCTGTAAGCAACAATTGCGGAATGTTGCACTAATCGTGAATTCAGAATATTGTTAAAATTAATAGTCATTTTTTTAAAAAAAATTAAAATTTGAACATTCCTTGCGCTGGATAAATAAAAGAGTAAAATGATTGGTAGAATGAAAATGGCAAAATTTGTTTTTCTATATTTCGGATAAAAAAATAGGGTCTTGTAATCATTATCCAAATTGTTAAACTAATCTGTACCAGAGATCTGCAATTGGCTGGTTTCAGCCTACCCCCATACCCCCCCCCCCCCCATGGGCGTGGGCGGAATTTCTAAAATATTTTAAACATTGGGCCAGCAGTGGCGTATCCTTTAAAAAATAGAAACATTGGGCAGGGCGGGTTGAGAATTTTTTTAGATAAATGAGCTGGTGGGTAAATTTTTAAAAACACCGAGTGAGCGGGCTTGTTGGCTAAAAACGCCCATTGCTGATTTCTAATTTATACACACACATCGAGTTGCTGACATTATAACCTTAGTTTAAAAAAAATATAATACCTGCTGAAATTCGTAATATATATATTACTCATCATATTATTATGATTATACTTCGCAAAAGTAAATATTAGGGTTGTTAATCGTATTTACATTTAAGAATGTTGCATCTATTTCTTATCAAGATATATTTTTTTAAAAGTGTCTATATCAAGATATATTTTTTAAGCCGTGTTACTGTATCTTTTTATACATCTTAAAAGTATCTTTTAACAGCTCTGGTAATTATATATTTTTTTTTCTAGAAATGATCATAGCTATAGACAGGTTACATCAGCTGGGCTACGTGCACAGGGATATCAAGCCCGACAACATACTCATAACCCAAAGTGGTCACATCAAACTAGCTGATTTTGGCTCGTGTCTTAAAATGGACGAAAATAAGAAAGTTTCACCTTTCTTCGCATTTTCATACATATCAAATATTTGCTACTATTATTTTTATTACGCGCTATTTGCTTTAATCGAAATATTTTGGTGGTTTTTGGCGCAACGATATACCGTTATGTTGCAAATATAAGAGCAAATTTGCTAGAAACTTCGAAATATTTCGGTGGTTTTGATTCGTAATATATCGCTGTGTTGCAAATTTATAACAAATTTGTCAGAAACTACGAAATATTTCGGTGAATTTGATACGTAATATACCATTGTGTTGCAAAATATAGAACAAATTTGCCCGAAATCTTCGATTTTTTAAAAAAAGAAGAGATAATGGAATGGATGATATCTATTTTACCATACAAATAATGTGTAAGATATACTACAAAATATTTTACAAAAATTATAACGTTTAAATAAGCACAAAAATATAATTTTTACACGTGAAAAGTCAGGGAATAAGGAAATGAACGGCTACGAATATAGGTTCGGGTTCAAATAAAAATAACGGTCCTGGGTTTGTTCATAAAACAAATTATCTAAGTTGGATCGAACTTTTTAAAGACCGGTTAGAACTATTTTGCGTACAAATTTAATGCTAATTATGTGTAAGAAAAAGTTACCACAATTTGATTGTATTTTTTTTAAAAATAGCTTATTTTAGTATTATCGAATTTTTAAAACTCAGCTGATTCGTTTTATTTGCCATTAACTCATTGATTCGCGTTCCCTATATAGATAATATATATACATTCTTTTTAAATGTTGATTTTTATTTTTCACCCCCTTTTTAATTTTCAGTCAAGGAATTTCATATGATGATTATGGATTTATGATAAAAGGTTTTTGGCATGACTAAGAATATTCTTATATTTAAAGTTTTTTTTAAAATCTTCATAACTTTAATACCACGGTGTGAAAATACCGATCCGATCCGACCTATGTTGTATCGGATATTAATTTTGTATATATCCTCTAGGTTTGTCATTTATATTATTCGTTGTCACGATCACTAATTACCGATTCGCTAGCATTTTTTTCTAATTATAGTTTAAGAAAATCATCGTTTAATTACTTCAAAAGAAAAGTTAAATTAATTACAAAACAAAAAAAAATAAAATAAAAAGGTTCGCTCCAATGTGTCCGTCGGTACCCCGGACTATATCTCCCCGGAAATACTGAGGGTATAAAAAATACAAAAACACTAAAGAATTTTATGATACCCGGAAAGATTGGAAAAAGAAAGGAATAAGATAGATAGTAAAGAAAGAAAACTGACTAATAAAGAAATATATACTATATTGTTAAAATTATATATTTTTTAAGGCCACCGAAAGCGGCAAAGGACAATACGGAAGCGAGTGCGATTGGTGGTCTCTCGGAGTTTGCGTCTACGAGATGCTCTTTTGCCAGACCCCTTTCTACTCCGAATCCCTCATCGAAACCTATTCCAAAATTATGAATTACAGGGTAAAAAAACAAACAAATGAATCTAACAAATTATATCATTATTTAAAATAGGGGGCAGATTACCCTCGTCAAAATTTAATCGGTCCTTTCGCCATTTTGGATCCTAAAAACTGTCCACTCTAGACTTTTGACACCCCCCCCCCTTCCCTTATAACAATAAAAATTCCTAATAGTCGCTAATTCATAACATTCATCGAGATGACAAATATATTTTATATAAGTCTTAAAAAATGGCGGAGGGGGGGGGGTGGATAAAGGTTATAATATACTATACAATACTTCTTAAAATGTTTGCTATTTTATAAATATAAAGATTTTTTTTAATGTCATGAAATCATGGTTGAATAAGTAATCGATTACAAATGTATTAAGATTTCGTATTGACAATATTTTTTTTGTAACAGTAATGTCGTATCTTGTTGAAAATAATGGAAATAGTAATTGTAATCAATTACATTTTCCAAGTATATATATTGAAAAGACTATCGGCTTGCTCGATTTATTTTTTGCTTCATATCCTTTAAGTTCGAATTAATTGGCCGAATTTATAAACACCTTTCAACGACAGATTAATTTGTTAAGAAAAGATGTCACCCTCTAAATATAATTTTTTTTTTATATTTGATCTAATTTAATATAAATAGACGTGTTTCAAAAAAGCACAACACGTGATTGCAGCAAACCATGTGATCTTCGATGGTTATATGTCCCGTGTTTAATTTGATTTTATATTTTTGAAATGCTTTATGAATATATTATTTATTTAGACCTTAGAATTTCCGTGCCTGCCTTCCTCACCCTCTGGCGATGATTCGTCGACTTGTTTGAAATGCGATAATCCCATATCCCAATCAGCAAAATCCCTCATCTCTCAGCTGATATGTCCCGCGGAAACGAGACTGGGGCAAAACGGCATACCCGATTTTCAAAAACACCCCTTTTTCAATTGTAATTAAATCTAAATTTATGATTGAGCATTTTTTCAAAAAAAAAATGGTATTGGGCTAAGTTTATAAAAAAAAAATTATACGACCGACCTCCCCAATTTGAGTCATCAAAAAATGGTATTGGGGTCAGTTTGCAAAAAAAATCATCCCACTGACCTCCCCAATTTGAGCCATCACTTGAAGATGGCCGCAAAAAAAGCAATTTTAAATACACCCGGGCCGTGTTTAAATTTTAAGACCAAATGTTTTAAAAAATCCGGGCCGGTCATGAAAATATAAAACCCGAGCCGGACCGAAAAAAATTTTTGAAAAAAATATCCGGGCTAGTCATAAAAATATAAAACCCGAGTCGGACCGAAAAAAATTTTTGAAAAAATATATCCGGGCCAGTCTTAATTATTGGTTTTTTTAAGAAAAAATCATTAATTATTTTACAATTTTTTTTTTCTCGGCGATTTAATTTTATAAATATAACAAAATAATTATATAGCCGATATGGTTTACGAAGCCTGTTGGGACGATGATATCATATATAAGAGTAATCTTTATTTATAATTAGATATATTTGAGGAAAAAGAAATTTGATAGAACAAAACTAAATATGTTGATATAATTATTTTGGCTCATATTTTAAATAATCCCCTTCCCTAAATTTGATCCCTTTTTAATTACATCTTTTTAAAGAATAATCTGTTTATAAATATATATATATTTTTTTTTTCAGTTAAGCCACCTTTCGTGCCTGAAATCACGTCTTCCTATGATACGTCCAATTTCGATGTCCAAGAGACCAATAATAATAACCATTTCAATAAACATGTTTATTTCAAAGATGTTCAATATATATTTAAAACGAATTTACTAGCGTTAGTATTTTATAGTAAATAAAGGAAAGAAAGAAAGAAAGAAAACGATAAGAAAGAAGAAAGAAAGAAAAGAGAGAAAACCGTTAGTTACCACCCTCTCAAGTTAAAAATATATAAAAGTGTGGTCCCAGCGATTTTAAACTATAGTTGGGTAATGGCTAAATGTCGACTAATTCACGCAATCTACAGGCCCCTACCTTAGGCGAATCCGGATAACATAAGACGCTTTAATTTATATACCTTTCTTTCAGATATGAGCTGCTTTTATATTTAAGAAGAAAAATATACCCCCATTAGGCTAAAAGTGACATTTTTCGGGACTAAAAACTGGCTTTTAAACGGGCTAAAAAATATAGTAAATTACCTAACTACATTTAGAAACGGGCAAGCTAGAACTCAACCTTATTTGTTCCTATATTCTTATTCCCTTTTTTAATTATAATTCTAGAAATTAATGAACGGGTTTCAGAATACTCAATTCACAGGCGTGCACTTGCCTTTCATAGGCTTTTCCTATCGATCTCTCAAAAAGTATGATTTAAAAGAAAATAGTTATTTTTTTAAATATAGAAAGAATTCTTTCTTTCTTTCTTTCTTTCTTTCTTTCTTTCTTTCTTTCTTTCTTTCTTTCTTTCTTTCTTTCTTTCTTTCTTTCTTTCTTTCTTTCTTTCTTTCTTTCTTTCTTTCTTTCTTTCTTTCTTTCTTTCTTTCTTTCTTTCTTTCTTTCTTTCTTTCTTTCTTTCTTTCTTTCTTTCTTTCTTTCTCAAATTGATATCTAAGAATGCTCTACTTAATCCTTATTTGAAGTAAGAATATAAAAGATTTTTGGGTCAAATTTTACCTAAAAAAAATTCCCCAATATTTTTGTATGCTGCTTGATTTTAGCCGTTTTTTAAAAATTGGATTCAAAAATGGAGCAATAGGAAATTAAAAAAAAATTCAAATCACTTAATTAAATATTATTTCAAACGCTTAATATTTTATATTTAAAAATTTGATTTTTTATCACTATCCTACAGATAAGGATCTAGATACTTGTATCGAGATCCTGTATCTAGATATAAAAATGTAGTATCTGTATCTGGATAGATTTTTGATTAAAATATCGGTATCTAGATCCATTTAAAAGTATCTTTTAACAACTCTGCTATCCTCTAATATTCGACAACCATAAGTAATGTTGTTTAACGGCTCGATTTGAGTCAATTTTTAAAAATGGCTAACTCAATATTTTAGCAAGTATAATATTGCCTAAGCCTCGAGATTTATCTAATAAATGTCCAGACGTTTGCGCCATCTATGAGCGGAGTCTTCAGGCTTGCGTAATATTTTTCTGGATAAAATATTGAGTTTCGCCCATTTTTAAAAATCACAACACCTAACTATAAGCATCCATCCATTAATTTTTTTTTAAAGCCAAAAAAAAGGATAATGAATAGAACACTCCAATAAAACTTGAATATATAACATTTAAAAAAATAAATATGGTACAATGTATATGTACTTGTAAATAACATAATCTAATTCGCGAAAAATATTGGTTTTTACGACCGGTCAGGGAATAGTAATATTTAAAAATGAAAGCTTTCATTTTAACCTCTTTCGATCAAGCCATATGGTATCTTTTTGATTTGTCCAAAACAGTGATATGGACTTATGATAATTGTTGTTTATTATTCGTCAAACTTTTTAAAAAAAATAAACCAAATTAGACTATGGTCGTTGTTTATTTTGTCTTAATTACAGATCGATCATGGTTTAGCATTTCTCCTGAAAAAACGAATCTAGAAAGAAACTAACGGAATAATATTTCAATTTAGATTGAAAGATTTTGAAATCTCCAAATATGTAAAAAATTTTATTTACCACAGGTTTTTATACGAAAAATTTTCTCCCGAATCATCTCCTCATTTGTCTGACAAAGTTATTGCTTGCGATAACGCCTCAAATTTATCCGCCAATTTCATCGAGGTAACTAAATGTAACGGTGACGTAAACGAGAATCGTGACGCTATAGGTGGTCCCACTCTTACGTGTGACGACGTGGCTTGGGAAGAACTAAATATTCGGTTTCACAAATAGAAGAGAATGTTTTTTTATATTAAAAATAAACCGCGCCTAAACAAGGTGGGAAGAGGAGGGGCTGTGGGAGGGCGAATAAAAACAATTGATCCGAAATTTTAAAAATCAGCGAACTCAATATTATATCCAGAAAAAATATTACGCGAATCTGAAGATTTTGCGCATAAGGTAACATAAAGATTTGGGCATCTATTAGCGAAATTTCAAAGCTCGAGTAATATTTTTCTGGCCAAAATATTGAGCTAAACCGGTTTTTCAAAAAATCGGCTCAAATCGAAGAAAGAAAGAGAGAGAGAGAGAAAGAAAGAAAGAAAGAAAATTGAAAAAAAAAGATAAGATTAACAACCCTAGTTATTTTTACTATTTTTCATTACCTTTTTATAAAATATATTTTATGCTCTTTTAACCCTACACTAAGATTGGAAAATTTGACGTTCAGCAACGAGAAGCTAAATCACAATTTGAGGCGCAAGAAAGACGAGATTGACGAATTGCAAAAGTCGGAAGATAGGCTCAAAGCCGAACTTAGAAGATCCGAAATCAATCGGATAGATGTATAATATAAAAAAAAATTTGCTCGGTTTATTTTTTATTTAGTAGCTTTCTTTGTTTGATTCCTACCCTCCCCCCTTGGTCATTTATAATAAAAAAAATTATCCTCAAAATAATTTTAACACTTATGTCCAATCAAATTGCTACGCTACTCTTTTAATTGACATCAGTCATTATTTTAAAATAATTTGGGTTGCGTATTCTGTGACAGTTTTTTAAGCCGAAAACTTTCACGTTAACATCGAGATTTTTTTTTTCGAAAATATGGCTTAACTTTGAGGAAAGCAACAGATTAACTCGTCACTCAAACCATAAAGTTTTTATTCCGCACGCTTCTGTAGTGAGCCATGTTAGCCGATTTTTAGTTACTCCCCTACGTATATTTGATTGATAAAATGATAGAAGAAGGAAACTGGTCTTTTTTTTAATTTTTTTTATTTTTCTCGAAAAATTTGATTATATATATAAAAAACAAATGTCATTTGGGGTTGAGGTCTAATTTATTGAAATAATGAAATTTTATATTATGTGTAATATCGATTAGATATTTATAGCTACATTTTCTCCTTTAAACTTTAAAATAATATAATTAAAAATTAGGTGATTTAACTATCGTGAAAACAATGAATAATTTTATCATATCTCTGTAATTCAAATCAATATAAATACATGAATTAATCGTAATACATAATTAACAAATATAATAACAATTAATCCTATTACCAATTACCTTTATTTTCAAGGTTAATTGATTCTATTACAGTGAAGAAGGAAACGGTTTACCATTTCTTTTTTTCTAATAATTTTTTTTTTGTTGACTACTATACAACTACTAATTACAATAACCTTTTTAAATTTAAAAAAAAAGTTGAATTATGAACTTGAGAAATTACGGACAGACATCGAGAACCAGAAATCTCTCAGACTCAAGAACGAAGAATATATCAAGGTGATTGAGGACGAGCTCGAGAGTTACAAGGATAGTTCCTTGATTTATAGGAATAGTGGGAACTTGGCGAAGCTTACCCCAACTATCACGAGGAATAGATTTCCGGTTAATCGCTTCTTGCATACGAATATCATCGATAATAGCTACGATAATAGATCTAATAGCAGCTTAGACAATTCCTGCCCTATCGCAAACGGGAACAAAGGAAACTTTAATTTTAAAAGGTTTTGTATTAAAACTCCTTGTTAATAAATAAACTTTTATGGGTGGGGATAAGGGTAACGGCATACCAGAGCGTTCTTATTGCGAAATTGAACGTTTTATTGCCTGTCCTAGGCCGCGATTTCCATCGCAGTCTTTCCGAGAGGAATGCAAATTGTTTATCTTTTAAAGCTGCAGGAAAAAATCGATTGTTTTATGTACCAGATGATTAAATCAAATGTGGCGAAAAACAGGGAGCTAATTTACCCTGCGCTTTCACAGTTAGCTCTGATTCGCGGCAAGATACAGAAATTTTGTATACTTTGACGCGAATTCGCACTAACTGTGTGAATGAAGGGTTAGAGATCCAACTAAATAATATTGTCATTTAAGTTATACAGGTTAATATATAGCACATCTGTTAGTTTTAAAATATGGAAATTATTAGGAATTATTAATGCAACTAGTAAACAGTCGATAAAAAAAATTTTAATATGCAAAACATTTCGAAATGTCCCGTCCGATTTTTGGCTTACTATCTTTTAACATTATGCTCTTGAACGCTCTGGCTTGGCCTTAACCTGTACGCGTTTTTTAGGTGTTCATAAGAAGTTGTCGACCTCATGCAGAATCATTATTGATATAAATGAATAGATTACAATTTTTATCGAGATCCGACTCTAATAAAGCTAGTCGATCTTTTACTAGCTTGGTCTGTGGTACGGTCTCAACCAGCCCCGATAACTTATCACCGGAATATTTTCTCCTTTTTTTTATATTAATTTATTTCGCGAAATGTTTTGACTTAAAAAATCATCTTTATCGTATTCTTTTTTTTAAAAAAAAATATATATTTAATAATACGAAAAAAAAACTTTTGTTTATCATATTTAGTTCGACGCCGATCCAATTTGATTCGAATCAATTTATCCTATGCCAGGAAGAGATAAAGGCCTTGAAGAATGCGCTTAGCCATTTGGAAAAAGAGAATGTAAGCTCGGATATTATACTGTTCAAGATTGTTTGTATATAAGATAAGATATTACATTAAGAGTGTACCATAAAGAGTCGAGGACGTCATTATTTGGCCATTTGATTTACGCATAGCATATGTAAAAAAATTTAAAATTTTAATGTAAGTCGAAGTAAAATAGTGTCGTACCTCACAATTACTTTAAGGGTATTTCTCACAAGAACAAAAAAATATGTATTTGGCAGACCAAATTCAAATAATTTAAAATATTCGGGATCCTATATAGTTTACCAAAATGTCATGTAACGTGGTCTCCAGCTGATTTGTATTCAACGATGCTTTAAAATGTATTATTATGAATGAATCTTCAGTCTAGGTATTGTTATATCTAATTGAAATAAGGAATCCACGAGGAATTCGGAATCCCTCTATTTTAAATTATTTACCAAAGAGGCCAATTTTAAATTTGGAAAATCCGACCGGAAATATATTCCGCCATATGTAGAGTAAACTACCATACATTGAATTCACAATTTGCGCATTACGCATGCGTAATTCCTTTACACGATGCTTTATCACAACTCTCGCTTTTATCCATATACTCCAATGTCGCGAGTGCACAGTGTGTCACAGCTTTCGAAAGCACAAAAGTGGAAGGCCCCTTTAAAAAAAACTATATCCAAATAAAACCCTTATTAGAATATAACTTAATGTATAAATCTTATGTACCATGGGTGATCTCTCACTTATCGGTACCACCTTGAAACAGTAGCCGTGAATAAGAACTTAACCTCTCAGCTTTACGGCTCGATTTGAGCCGATTTTTAAAAACCGCTAACTCAAGATTTTATCTAGAAAAATATTACTCAAGCCTGAAGATTTTGCTCATAGATGGCACAAAGGTCTAGACGTCTAGTAGCCATATATGGAGCCTTAGGCAATATTTCTTTAGCTTGAGTTAGCCTTTTTTAAAGGCTCAAAATGAGCCGTTTTACAACACTACCCTCAGCATTAAACATGACATTTTGGTGTATTTATTATTTGTATGCATTTTTTTTGTTGTTGAAAATTTGCCCAACCTCGATGCCAATATCCAGTAATTTTTTTTAATATCATAGATGAATTAAATGTTTTCTATTCGTGGTATTTCCCATATAAGGGAGGTTATTTCGATACACCCTTATTTTTGCCCTTGACATATATTCATAAGGAGCTCCTGTAATCTTGATTCCTTTTAGTAATTGACAGTTAGGGGTTCGAGATCCTCTTAACTGTGTCTTTACACTAGACAAGTGTTAGAATCAAAATATATTTGATTGCTATAAATTTTTTAAAAAATAAGAGGAAATTGTGAGAGATTTTATAAACCTGCCCCCATGAAAAAAAAGAAAAGACACGTGTCAAAAATAAAAAGAGATGGGCTTGTCAAATTTTTTAATTATAAAATCAATTTTTTGAAAATGCGGGGTTGGTATGAGCTTAAAAATGGGGGGGGGGGATTTGATTATAGTTTTAAAAAAATATATACGACTATATTTAACGGTATCGATCAATGTCAATTTTGAAGGTCTCCGCCAAATAATTGGTATCGCTGTATCTCTGCTAAAAATTCGAGTTGACTTTTGCTGGCTTTTATTTTCCAGCTAAAATCAGAAGTGAAATTAAAGTTGAAGGTATGTAATACTTGTCAATCAAATTACATTTTCTCAGTTTTTATTCGGCTAAGATTGTGCCCTTTAGACTTTCGCTTGGATGGATGAAAGAAGGCATATATATAAGAAATCGTCTGCTAAAATAATTACATGCGCGTGTGAAATGTGTGTTACCATACCAAATAAAAACTGTCACCTTTTTTGGGTAAGGTGATAGCCTGATGGATATTTGTTATATTTTTTTTTTGCATTTTAAAATGAACAATTGAGCGCGTTTTATCACATTTTGGTATTCTTATTTTGCCGGAAATATATTCAAATATGTGTTAAGAATACACACCCTATAGATTTTCAAACCATTAAAATTTTTAAGAATTATATTAATTTTTTTGTCATAATTTTACCAGATATTTTTTTAAATGTAAATCAAAATTTCTCAGCGAGTTGATTTTGAAATGGTTTAAAATTTATATATCGGGTATTCTGCATATATTGGAATTCAATTCCTGATTTTTTATTAAAATTTAATAAAACCCTTTCAATTAATGATTTAAAATGCAAAATAAAAATAAAACAATACCCATCAAACTAAGGACCGTGAAGTTGGCCTCCCATTTTTGGATTTTCAATTGCTTATCAGTTGGACTTATCTGTACCTGATTTGTATTGATAAAAAAATTCAAAATTAATTTTAAAAAAAATTTCTTAACGTACAACGATAGAGAATCTTTTTCTCGTGAAGAGATGAATTTCCATCTATAGTCGTTTGAGGTAGTTTTGCGACATCTTTAGCTCCGGCAGCTGCTAATTTCATCGTAGCATTAAGGGAGGTTATATGATGGAATAAAAAATCATCGATTCTTATAGGAAGACTTTCGTATTTTGCTAACAAAAGTCTTCCTATAAGAATAGACGATTTACTATTACATCATATAATCTCCCTTAATGCTACGATGTAATTAGCTGCTAGAGCTAAAGATGTCGTAAAGCTACCTCGAACGACAATAGATGGAAATTCATCTCTTAACAGTAAAAGATTCTCAATCGTTTGTACGTTATAAAAAAAATTTTTTTTTTTTTAAATTAATTTTGAGGGATTTTTTAACGATCAACAGCTGATAAACTGTAACGGTACAAATCAAACTAAAAACGGTACAAATTTTTATTTTTAAATTCAAAAGTTAGGGGTTCTTGATGAGTGCCTGAAAATTGAAATGTTTTATATTTTCAATCGAGTATATAAGCTTAGGAACCATTTTCATTTTGTTGAAAAAAATTAAATTAATTTTTTTTTCTTTGTGCGACCAACTTTAAAAATATAGCTCTCATAAAATTGTTATTAGATGGATCAAGTGTTAATATATATTAGAGATCTGCAAAGCAGAGGTACTGCCCGGTTTTTTTTAAAAAAAATTTCAGGCCCGGCCCGGATTTTTTAAAAATATATTCTATTTTTTTTGATTTTTACAGCTAATAATGGCGATTTTAAATATTTGGTTTTAAAATATACGGCCCGGCCAGGCCCGGGTAAATTTAAAAAAATTAAAACTGGCCTGCTGGTCTCTGATATATATAAACATCACGTTAGATAGATGAAGCTTCTTAGGTATCGCAACGAATAGCTTAAACTAATTATCTGAGCTATTTTTAAAAATAATTTGGTTCCTTTACACTCCCTACTGGACCAAAATATCTCGCGTTATTTATCGAGGGTTAAAATAAAGAAAGAGGGAGATTTAAAAGGTTTCTTACATCTTAAAAAAATGAGATGAAAGAAAAGAAGAAAAAGCAAAATTCATTCTATATTTTTAACGTTTTTTAACTTTGTAAAAATGAGACATTTCTAAATCTTAAAATGTCTCATGATATACGGAACGGTATGTATCTTAAACGATTACATTTCAAAATATTTAAAAGGATTAGTTTATAAGTTGGTGATATTTTAACAAGAAAAAAAGATTATCCTCAAATGTAATTTTTAAGAAAAATATTTCTTTCTTTCTTTCTTTCTTTCTTTCTTTCTTTCTTTCTTTCTTTCTTTCTTTCTTTCTTTCTTTCTTTCCAGGACAAATAATAATAATAATTATGTTCTTTTCAGAAAATTTTGAAAGCTAACAAAAATTCCGTCGATAATAATGACTCGCTGACCTCCGAACTCAGGGATAAAACCAACTTGTTACTCACCGCCAGTCACCTTATAGGTTCGACCCTGAGACCTACTCAAGCAGATTCCGATAAAAATTTGACCGTACATATACCATCTCCCGAAAAGTCCTTATCACCATTATCACTCAAAGAGTCGAGAGGTTCGAATGAAATCATCGGTGAAATTGGAGAGATCGCGGAGATAAAAGATATGGGTACCATGGCTAGAATACTCGACGAGGAAATGGAGTACCGGAAATATTTGAAAAATATGGTCGATAAACTCAAAGGTGAGGTGACGGCTATCAAACAAATCCATCACGAAAAATTCGGGAGTTGGCGGGATGGCTTTAACATCAATTTTCATAGCCACGATTCTAGCAATATCATCGACTACGCTAGCAATAGTAATATCGACGAACCGCGTGTGAATGGGAAAGAGCTGAATAATCATAAAACCGGCGATCTCAATTTGGCGGCTCAAGATGCTGGCGGGGAAACAGATGATTCGTTTTACGCGACAGGAAGGGAAATGACTTCGTTAAAGGCTTTTAATAGGTCTCTCAATACGACGGCCAGTTTTAGCTCTTACCATACCACCGTAATTAAAAAAATTACCCATAATCGCAAACTTTAATCCCCCTTCTTCCCTCATTTCCGTTTTACAAGTTGATTTGATTGACTTTCGTATTTTCGTATATTCTTGGGTTAAAAAATAGAGTTACTTGACTTCAAATATTTTCGATTATTAAAAACAGCTGACTCGCAGTGCGAATCTAATAACTCCCTTTGTTATCTCGTATTTCACATGAGTCACCATTCCGTCTCGAGCTTATTTTCAAAGGCCCAAGTGTGGGTCGAACCGATTTTAGTCTTGAGTAGATAAGGCTGTGTCCTAAATGTTTTGAAAAAAAACCTCATAATTTATAAATTTTTGCAAATTAATAAAATTATGAAACATGTCGGAAATCTTCCATTATTTTTTTTTTACAATAAAATGAAAAAAACAACAAGAACAAAATACGAAAAATAACATACTTTAATATTACTTACTAAAAAATTTATTTATTCAAATTTATTAATTTCTATTATTTTTTTAAAAAATTAATAAATTTTCTTAAATGACGAAAAATGAATGATTTATTTAATTTTTTTCATTAAAAATAATTTATGTTAAATTTTTTTTTTCTTCAAAAATTAATAAATTTATTTATATTTTTTAGATTTAGGACACAGCCTAAACGAAATATGATTATTATATTTTATTGGAAAATATAATTTATTGGCGAATAGAGGAGTCAATGCAATATACGAACTTAAATAATATATATTTTGAAGTATATTTTTAAAGTATCTGTATTTAGTCTATTAATTTTTTTTTGATTATATATATTTTCCTACAATTATATTAGGTTTTGGATGTAAAAATTTTATTAAAATATTATGTATTTCTACTAACTTCTTTGTTTCCCGGACCTATCAGGGTGCGCATAAATTTACCAGTATTTTGCAAGTTACACATCCTATTGTTGTTAATAACAAAGATTTTTCTTGTGATGACGTTAAAACTTGGTTGTACATTTTTGAATTCTTTAAATAAGTCGTACCAATCTTTGTATCACAGGTTTGAATACCGTTACACTTTTTTTATCGACTGCGGCATTATTGTAATATTTTAGGATTATTTTTTAGTACAAATATGAATATATCAAGAAGTTAGAATACTACAACTACACTAAAAAATTAGAGATACATGAAAAGGTGTGGTCGCGCATTTACAATATGAATAGAAAAGATTGAATCTCAAATTTCTTTGTATGTTTTAATATTTAATTTGATTATTAATAATAAAAGATAGTATATAAAAAATTTTGTCTAACCGACCCACCCGACCGGTTCTAAAACCCGGAAACCTAACAGTTGACACATCAGACCTATGAAAAAAATAATGATAGTCACGTATTTCTCAATTATTATTTTTTTACCCATTTACACCTCTGACTTCTATTTTCCAATACTTCCACTAAAAAAACAGGAAAACGTGGCAAATGTCAACTTAACAAATTAAAATTTTTTGAAAAATAAATCCGTCCCATACTTTTAGGGAAGAAATTGGAGAGACCGGAAATTGAATCGACTGCACGAGATGCAATCTTTAGATCTCCAATCCAACTTGAGAAACGAGATCCAGGCCAAGGACCAATTGAATAAAGAGCTGAACGATCTTAAAAACACCTCTGCTCTCCTAGAGAAGTAAAAGATTTTATAATTCAAAAATTTTTTTCGGTTCGAAATTTAGAGTGTGGGTAGCCATTATTTTTTTAAAAAATTTATGTATTCACTCCTTTTTAACCCTAATCATTCCTTAGGTTGATTTTTTTCAAAAAAATGTTGGTACCACCGGCGATCATACGAAAGTAAAAAAATAGAGATGGCTGGCTCGAGCCTTTTTTTCTGAACTTCCTCTGGATACATATCAGTACTCGAAGAAAAATGAATAAGATACAATTTAACGATTGTGATTGACAATTAGGGATGTACCGATATTTAATTTTACCTATTTTAAAATATCGGTTATCGCAAATATAAAATTTCCCTATCCGATCCGATACAAAATGGCGTTTTTATCAAAAATAAAATATTATTAAATTTAAAAAAAGTTATATCTAAAAATTTATTTTTATAATTAAAATCGAAATCCATTTTTATGTTTAATTTTTTTAATAGTAATAATTATTTAATAAACATTCTGCCATATTGTTATTTTTTTTGCATTCTGTTTATAAAAGTGTGCAATAATCTCTTCAGAATCAGTTTTTAGTGAAGCTAGTGATATAGTCCCCATCACCGCAGACTGACCTCTGATAAATTGGAAATTTTTGTATTTCTAAAAAGAAATCTTCGATATATTAATTTTAAATATTTATTTCAAATTTTATAATATATTAGTTTATTACTTATTATGTAAATAGATTAATGTTATTACTTATTATATAAATAAGTGATTTTTCAATAAAAATATTTTATATACTTTTAGAATTGCAATTGAATTGATTATAAACTATAACTGATCATTATAATATATTTAAATGTAGGGATGTACCGATATTTTATATCGGATCGGATCGGGCCGATATGTCGCCCATTTTAAAATATCGGTTATCGGCAAATATTATAAAATTATCCGATCCGATATAAAATGGCGCTTTTAACAAAATTTAAAAAAAGTTAAAACCATTTATTTTTATAAATAAAATCGAAATATATTTTTATGTTTAATTTTTTTAATAGTATTAATTAGTTAATAAACATTCTGCAATATAGTTATTTTTCGCATTCTGTTAAAAAAGTTCATTAATTTTTTCAAATCTGTTTTTAGTGATGCTAGTGATATTAACAGTCCCCATCACCGCAGACCGATCTCTGATAAATTGAAAATTTGGTATTTTCTAAAAGAAATCTTTGATATATTAATTTCAAATTTCATAATATATTTGTTTATTACTTATTATATAAATAGATTAATATTATTACATTATTAAGTGATTTTTCAATAAAAATATTTTAGAATTGCAATTGAATTGAATATAAACTATAACTGATCATTATAATATATTTAAATGACATGTTATTGTATAGTTAAATTATAAATGTTATACTAATAAAAAGTATATTAAAAATTAAATGCATTTTGTATCTTTACAGAATACAAAATTAGATAAGATATCAGATCGGTAATCGGCCGATATCAATTTAATATCGGGAATATCGGATCAGATCGGCCTCCAAAATGTGGTATCGGTACACCCCTATTGACAATAATCAATCACTTTTTAATTTAATACATCATTTAAACCGTAATAGAAAATACGAAGAGTCCCTAGAAACGAATTCCAAGCTCAAGGAAGAAAACGAATACTACAGTCTGATACTCGACAAAAGTCACATCAATTCATCTACCGATTTTCAGAGCGCCCAACTTTCGATATCCTCGTACAACAACAATCACTATAATGATAGTAGTACCCCTGCCCCTTTGGGTGTTTATAACGACGGTGATCGTAGTGCTATTCTTTTTTCCAACGATGCCAAGAAATTCTCGTCATCCTTGAACGATTACAAGCGCAAAAGCGCCAGCGTGTCTAACCTTCTCAGGATCGTGAAACCCCCATACCTCTTTGAACGGAAATCCTGTAAAGGAGATGGCGGTAGTTTTGGCGACGATAAGCCCGCCATCAAACACCCTAAAAACGTCAAAAATGCCGGCGATTATAATGATAGCGGTAGGGACCCTAAGGCGGAGGCGGAATCTCAATTACGGAATCATAGGATTGTTGTGAAGGATTTCAAACAGCCGACTCGATGTCATTACGTAATACATATTTTTTATTTTTACATTGTAAAGATTATTGCCTTTTAACCAATTGAAAATTTGGTCGATACAAGCCAGTATTTTTAATAATATATTTTTATGTCAGTATTCTTTGAGGCTCAAGTATAAAATTTTTTAGTGTTGTATTTTATTAGGAAAAATATTACGCTATCCTGAAGATTTTGCTAATATGTGGCATAACGGTTTGAACATATATTAACGAAATCACGAGGTTTATACAATATTTTTCTGGCTAAAATACCGAGTTAGCCGGTTTTAAAAAATCGGCTAAAATCGAGCCGTTCAACAACACTAAGAATTTGGTTTTTTTTCTCGATATTATTAACATATTTAACCGGTAAATATATTTTTTATTTCTTCAGTATTTTAATTTGATTTATCAGTTAAATATATATATATATTTTAAATCATATTACCCTTATAAAAATAATTTTCGGTTATAATTTTAATTAAATAAAATATCACAAATGTCTAATTTTTTTTAAAAAAAATTGACCCAAAATTTATTAAATCGTAATATTGTTATTTTATTTTATAATATAAATATCAGAGTTGTTAAAATATGCTTTTTAAATGGATCTAAATACGCATACAGATACATCATTTTTAAAAACGTATATAGATACAAATGCAATTTATAAAGGGTTCTCCGTTGTTCTCTAACACAAACTCTTATTATGAGAGCACAAAATATGTGTTTTACCCCTATTTTTATCGTTCTTTCCAACAAATTCTCATTTAAAACGAGCATTAAAAAAATTTTTTTTTACAATGACCTTATGAAGGGGAATATATATAAAATTTTAAAAAATTCTAAATTAGATTTATTTGCAGTGCATTAATATTGTTTTTAATGATAGAATTTATATATTTCTTAACATGATAAAAATATCATTCACAATTTTGAACTGTCTATAGATTCAAATGGGGAAATATAAGTTTTATAGTTGTTCGTAGATATTATTCTTGAATATTTTGACATTTATCCTCTTATTTTCCTCCCAAAATAAACCGAATATCCAATAATTACAAAATAAAATAATGTCCAAAATGAATATCCTGTCCATGGCTTAAATAAATAACATCTGAAAATAAATTTTAAAACTGTAACCTTTTATTCTTAAATTAAGTTGCGGAAAAAACAATATATTCATTTGAGGTAATAATCAATAATCAAAATAAGGTCAAAATAAAATTTTTATAAATAAAATACGAGAGGTTAACTTAATAACCAGAGTTGGGCAGGTCCTCCAAAAAGAATCTAGAGACAGATACAGATTCTTTTAAAAAATAAATCAGATACAGATACTGGTATCTTTTGCCTAATTAGAGTATATAAAATACAAGATACTTTTAAATTATCATTATCAATAATAGTTTACAGTTTTTGTTATTTATTTGTGAAGAACATAACATACGCATATAATATGAATGAATATTTACAATAATTAATAAAATATTTTATGATAAGTTAATTATAATAATCAGGCATTTTAATATTAGTAATAAATAGCCCATTCTTAGCATAGATCGGCAAGGGAGACTAGTATTTTTGATGGTAGTTGAAATATTAATTTGCAAAAGAGTATTTAAAATAGATTCATTATTTTAGATAATCAAATTTTTCAAATAATTTATCATTACATTGCCTTTTTGCCCTACTTAACATTTAGTTTTGTTAAACGGCTCGTTTTGAGCCTAAAAACGACTAACTCAATATTTTAGCCAGAAAAATATTGCATAAGCCTTGAGATTTCGATAATATAATGTATAGACCTTTGTTCCTTATATGAGCAAAATCTTGAGTCTTGCGTAATGTTTATCTGGATGAAGTATTGAGTGCTCAAAACAAGCCGTTTAACAACACTATTAACATTGTGCCAAAACTAAATTATCTTTCAATTGGAGCTGAATCATATTTATAAAAAATTTCCTTAATGAAAGGATATTTTAAGCATATACAATGTATTTCAACTTTCTTTAATGTAATTTACAACCTCCAGTTCAATGATATTTGTATTATTGAACTCAGAAAAATTTTTTCACTAAGAGAAAAATAATCATCATTTTCTTTATTAGATGTTAAATCTATCGGTGTTATTGTTTGAACTTGTATATACTCTGGTTCTACAATTGGGGCTTCTTTTATTAATATATTTTGAAAGTATTTGCTTTATCATCCGACTCAATCCACAAAAATATGGATGTTATATTGATGTCAAAAAAGTCTCATTATATTCAAATCATAAGAAAATATTTTCTTAAAATCTATTGCCCATGCCACACCTTAGGCAGCTTTTGATAAAGGTAGCAATATTGTAAACTTGAATATAAGATAACCTATGCCCCTTTTAACTGCACATAAATAATATACTTTAATATGTTTAACAAAATTTGTGTTTAACCATTTATCATTTTTTTTTGTTTATATAGGTTTTACATCTAACCTGTACGTTGTCTTTTTTAACTTTTATTTTTAAAAAATTTCCATATAAAATTTTAAGACTTGGGTTTAATTCGCGGGAACTTATTTCCATAATTTAAATTTTACAACCATGAATGTTAATCTTTCTACAAATTAAAAAAAATGTTACATAAAATTGGAATGATATTCATCGAGTTACATTTATATATAAAATGTAATCTTTATTTCGTTTTGGTGTTGTTATTTTTTATCTATCTTCCTTAATATGAGTTGTAAATTTTCCAGCTAATTTTGATTGTCATTATATTTAAAATATGGTGAAAAAATTAAGGAAATTAATACAAAATTCTCGAAGAAAATAAGATATATACTGTTTTATGGAAAATTTTAAACATGAATATTAAAAAGAATCTGTATCTGTATCTTTTGTAAAGAAAATAAAAAAAATACAAGATTCTTTTCAGAATAAAGGATCTTAGACACAGATACTAGTATCTTATTAAAAATGTCAAAAAGATACTGAGTACAAGATACAAAAGGATCTTGTATCTTAGATATAATTCGCGGTACTGCCCAACTCTGTTAATAACAATGTCTAAATAATATAAAATCATACAAACATAAGAAAATAATCTTGATACCCGTCACTCATAAAGTGGTGATACAACAATTTGTATTGATCATAAAACAAATACTGACCAATTTTGTATTTGATATACTGAATTTCCTATTATTTATACTGATTTATATATTTTATGCTGGTTAAAATGAGAAGAAGAAAAATATACTGATCTAAAAATGTCGGAAATTTTAATAATTCACCTTTATTCATTTCATATTTTTTTTAGTGCAACAAACTTATGATAGGACTGTCGAAGCAAGGTCTCTCTTGTGGCGCATGCGCTTTGGTATGCCACGTCGAGTGCGTATCCTCTGTAAGCGTGAGATGCTCATTCACTTTACAGAGATCTCCCATGATCTCGGCTACTAACGCTTCTTACGTTGACGAAATTATACGGGTATAAAAATAAAAAGGAAAATATTTATACGTGCTTACAAAGAAAGAAAGAAAGGAATTTTTATAAATAAATAAAGTTGCACTGTTTGTTAAACGCCTTTGAACCGATTTTTAAAAACAGCTGACTCAATATTTTAGTCAGATAAAATGTAGTACACAAACCTTGAGATTTTGCTAAATTGAGTTAGCCTTTTTTTGAAAATCGAGCCGTTTAACAACACTAGGAATATGTGCATTAATTTATAACTGAAATTAATTTTAATTTATTCATTTTTTAAAAAAATAATTAAAACAGGTACCAAAAGTGGGTATAATCAAGAAAGGGTGGAGCGTTACCCGCTTGATAGTTTCCGATTACAAAATATTTCTTTACAAGATCAAACCGACCCAGGTTAATAACAGCGGCAACTCTTCCTACTCCAACGAGAGGAAAGAACGAGGGGATCAGCACGTGACCAACCAAAAGGATTACGATTACGAGGCCTTGGACATCATTGATATCAGGTTTAATTTCAATATGGTAAATATTATTTTAACCGAGATACTGGATTCTTCGTTCAAGTTTACCCCGGTTTATCTACCCCTCCCAATGAATGATTTTACATCCTGAAATTCTATGAGGGAAAGAAGTAATACCCTCTCGTTTTTTCACGTAATTATTATTTTTTTTAAATGATGGTTTATCAATCCCTTGGTGAAAAAGAATTTAATATCACAGGAAGAAGTGATAGGGATTTAATTAGATCTGAATATTGTTCTATATCCATAATAATATATCTTGTATTTTGGATGGTTTCACGCCCATAATAAGGATTATCCTTATATCTTAACATTTTGATTGTTGTTAGGGAAGAATTACAGTTCTGAGGCCGTGCCTTGGTTCGACTTATTACTAAATAGCCAACAAAAAAAAGCAAAAGAAAAAAAACTAGAATAAAATACGAATAACAATTCCACCAAATACTTTAAAAAAAACCATGGATGCCCTAGCTTTAGCTGGTTAATGGCTAAATGTCCGCGAATTCTACTTATTCTTCAGGCGCCAGCCGGGAAAAATCCGTTAACTATTAAGCGTTCTAATTTATGTAAGTTTATTTCAAAATTTGCGCCGCTATCTTTTTAAGAGAGAAACCCCGGAGGCCACAGTGAAAGTTTTCGGCTAAAAACTTGGTTTAGCCGATTAAAAATTTAAACGGCTTAAAAAATATAGTAATTACCCACCTATAGCTTTTTTTTTTATTCTATACTAAAACGCAATTGAGTATTCAAATTAAGTCAGATTGATTTGTCGAAGAAAAAAAATGCATTTTGCATGAAAAGTGGATATAGAACACTATAATACTCAGCCGGCAATTAGAAATATATTTAAAAAAATGTAGGAGATGCTTCCCAAGAAATTATAACCGCGCATAAACATATATGTCCAAATCGTAATGTCGTTAAATATAATTATTAGTTGGCTTTAAAACTTCTATTTGCCGGGAATTTTGATAGTAGGAACTTAATCAAACCCGATTTTCTGAAGGTCTGAACCTGCCCCGGATGTTTATATTTGCTCGGGTTTGATGGGTTGACCATAAATCGGTCTTTGTTTGATCCACGGTATCACAAACGACACGGGGTTCACCTACCCTGTTTACAATTTTAGGAGAGCGCTAAATTAAAAGTTGACACTTATTCGGAAAAATATAACTAAAACTTTAAATGTAACTCGTAATTCTTTTCTAAAAGAGCTAACTAACCTAACCTTTTTTTTTCTTACTAAATTTTTCTAGTTATAATTCGCTTGTCATTTATTCGAAAATAGGAAACCAACAAAAAATACGCAAAAGGGATTTTTTTTTATAAGCGCGTCGCGTGATACCCAAAAAAGCATGAAAACTGGCGCAATAAATTTACCCCCCCCCCCAAAAAAAAAATGGCAGCATTCATATCACTACGCCAAATGTTGCAAAATATGCAAAAAAATTAAAATGTCGTAATGAGCACGCGAGGTGATGAAATAATATATATAAAATCATTATAAAGGTGTAAAAAATTAATCGCGTATTTTTTCATTTTTTGATCCTCCTCCCCCCCCCCCATTCCCCACTGAAAAAATTTCTGTTGGTCGATCCCATGGAGGGGGGAGGGTTCTTTTAATTCGATTAGATGCCGATGGTTCTCTTTTTTTTCCTTTTTTTGTATAGATAACGCCAACTCAATATTTTAGCCAGAAAAATATTGCCTAAGCCTCAAGATTTCGACTATATATGTCTGGATCTTTGTTCCTTCTATGAGCAAAATCTTCAGGCCTGGGTAATATTTTTTTGGATGAAGTATTGAGTTAGCCGTTTTTAAAAATCGGCCCAAAACGAGCCGTTTGATAACACTAACGCAATCCACTTATGAAAAGAAAAGAAAAGAAAGAAAACCGCGATGAATGTTCGCTTATAGCATCTCCTTTATGATTTTTTTAAAAATATTTTTGGACAATATTTAATTCTTGACCTGGAGTCTATATTTAAGAGTAGTCACGCAATTCAGCATTTTTTAAGCCTAATCTCCTCTTTTCAGCATACGTTCATTTTTTTTTGTAATTATAAGCATAAACTAACACTCACCTTAGGCCTTATTCAAAACCGAATCGGATAGTGCTGCGTTGTATTGAGATTCTATTCTTTTAAACGAACATTCTTGGGAATAAAATTCGTATCCGTAGTCCGGAAATGCACCGATATCCGGCCGATATTAACACGGTTATCCGGTCTATAATTTCTATATAACAAGGTAACATCAAGCTATTTGGACTCGAGAAAAGCACAAAACGATTTCCCATAAAATCTGAGAATTTTTTATACCTAAAATCTTTTTAAAATGAGTTGTGGCCTAGGTGACATAAGGACCCATAGGTTAGAAATAACTATTGGGGTGAAATGAAAATAATTAGGGTGAATGTATAATTCGGGAAGCGGGGGGGGGCAAAATCACATGTTTTCCCTCTATTTGCAAAGGCCATCTGGTCTTTTGCTCTCAAACAGTGCTAAGTTAACGGGTTCAAATAAATTTGGATAATTACACATAACCTAATTTAACCGAGATTATTTAACATCATTCACCTTCCTTTGTTAAATTTTTTGTTTTTATCTGTTTAGAAATTTTTTGATTTTTTTTTTAACGAGGACCTTTTTTCGCCATTTTTTATTTATCTTGTACAAACCCTTTTACCTATATTATATATATTTTTTTTATACTAGCTCTTACTGCATAACCATATGATTCGTACAATTTTTGATCAATTAAGGAACACGGATAATCTCTATTTAAACGTACAAATACGACCCAATACTAAAAAGTATAGGGAATTCCGATCTGACGGATAGTTTGAATATCGGCCAGATACGGATACCAAATATCGGTGTATAAACATTTGAAAGGGATTAGAATATGTCTGTAATTTTTTACGCGGCTCAAGCCCGACTTTAAAAAAAATTTCGTTGTTCTAGAACGCCGAGCACAAATCACGAGATGTTTAGAAAATCGTTAATTTGGGAAATGGAAATTTACTTAAAGAAGACATTTGGTATAATGAGAAACATATGATTCTGATTGACATTTCGCGGAAACAAAATTATTATTAAAGCATATTCCAAATATTTAATCTTTCGGGGGAAAAAAAGGTCCTCAATGTCCGAACCGGGGTCGGGTGTCGGGCAGCCAATACAAACCTCTACATGTCAGTGAGCTAAAAAAATAAAAACCCTGTTCTATTAGCCCACCTATAATCTATATTTACAAATTTTATTCAAACCAGGGTTTAACAAAAAAAATCTTTAAATGAGCATTAGAAAATTTATTTTTGAAGATTTCATCTTTTTTTTGATGTTATTTAAACTGACCCGCTTATATTAAACTATAAATACTCAGGCTTATTCAATCTTTAATATATACATTCACAAGTTTATTAATTATGTGGAATCGATTGCCGAAATTATAAATAAAATTGATGCTATGCTAGGTAGTTAACCTCCCCAAATATTAAATAAATATATTCAAACATTACTGCATTATTACTATAAAAAGAACATTTGAAATTTTAGATAAACTTTGATTCAAAAATCCTGTTTTAAAAAAAAATAATTTCCGGGATCAAAACCTTTGAAGATTTTTTTTTCATTTTGAATGTTAATTCTCCCATTTTTAAGATTATAGTGAACCCCTGTTATTTGTTAAATAAGTAAGATGTTATAATTGTTTTTATCCTATGCTTAAGTTAAAAAATTTTGATAGTTTGAAACGTAGGATTTGAAAGGGCTTCGGTTCTGGGTTCTAAGCTACTTCCTGTTTCTTAAAATTTGACGCAGTGCCTAGGGTTCGCGGTTCCACTTTAATTTGTTTTTTTTATTTAAACAATTCCTCGCACTTATTTTAATAAATCGGTTTCCGGTTTCTCGTTTCCTCTAATTTAAAAAAAAAGATTTCCAGGCTCCGTTTCTGTTCCTACATTTGTACCTGGTTTTTAATTGAAACCTATATTTACAGTTAGCCCGAATTCAGCTAACTCTGAATTCGGGAGTTAGGTTCTTCCCAAACTCGAACGTTTAGGAGAAGATTATCTAGCAGAGGTCACGTGATTTGACAAATATAAAATATATGTATACAACTTCTAAATTAGGAATTTGACATTTTTTTGGGAAGGGGGAAGGAGCCCAGGCGGTATACGGAATCTGTTTGTATAACTTGAGCCCCCCCCCCCACCTATCTGCGCAATATTTGGCTTTGCCGTGTTACCTATCTTTTTTTTTTGTGTACGAAAAGATTTGCAAACTTTATTATAAAAAAAAACATTTTTTTAAAAAAAAATTATAATAAATTGTGTTTTTTATCCTTATCATATTTTTTTGCGTTTTGGTTTTTTTTTATAATTATGAAAAATACAAAAAAATAATAATAGTTTTTTTTAACAAATTTGAGAGATATTACAGGGGAAAAAAACAAATATAACAATTAGACGTTTTGTATATAATTTGGGATAACGGGATTTTATATATTAAATATGTGTTTTTTAAAAAAATTAAATATAAAACAGTTATGAAAAAAAATAATATATATCTTAGGACAGGAAAAGTTATGAAAAATTTTATATTCCGGTAAAAGGGAGAAACTTGGGCAGCGCCATTTTTTTTTTACTTCTTCTTCTTGCCTTTCTTGCTTCCCTTTTTGCCGCCTTTGCTTCCTTTTTTGCTACCCTTTTTACCGCCCTTTTTGCCACCCTTGCTGCCTTTCTTCCCCTTTTTCCCTTTCTTGCTCTTTTTGCTTCCTCCTTTCTTCCCCTTTTTGTCCTTCTTCTTTTTGTCCTTCTTGGATTTTTTGCTCGCTTTGCTGCCGCCTTTCTCCTTCTTGCCCTTTTTGGCCTTCTTTTCCTTCTTCGCCTTCTTGTCCTTTTTCCCCTCGGCGGCGCTCTCCGCTCCGCTCTCTGCCTCCTCGCTCGTTTCCGCCCCCGTCAAGCTCGTCGCGCTAGTGGCGCTAGCGACGCTGCTCTCGTCCATGGTGTCGTCGGCTTCGCTGAGCGATGTTATTGAAGGGTTGGAGGTTAACGAACTTTGACTTTTGCTACTGGCCACGCTTCCTAAATCGTCCTTCGATAAAAGGCTAGCTAGACTTCCATGATTGCTCCTAGACATAGAGCGCGATACCGAAGGCCTACGATCCATCAACATCGTAACCTTCTTTCCCCTGGGGTCATTGAGAGCCCTTAGCCCTTTCAATGTATCCTTGGAGACTGCCGTATTCAAGAAGGGTCTCAATGAACTTCCTCTCCTTTGACTGCCTCCTGTCTTCAATTCGTAGGCCTCTCTCAATTTGCGCTCTGTCGCCGCCCCGAAGGCCTCGCTCGTCGATTTAAGGTCCATTATGGTAGACTTGAGTTGTCGGAGCGATTCTCTTAGCGTATTTTCGGTACCACTGGATGGTGGGTAAGACATCTGCCCTGGCCCAGAAAACATACCATCCATCCCTGTCGCGTTCATAATTGGGCTGGATCGTCTCATCAAGCCTAGTGTGTGTTGGGTGCATTTAAAAATTCTTTTAAGAAGAAAAAAAATCTAATCAAGGTAGCCTTTTTACGAGACTTTTAAAGCCCTGGAAACTAGTGTTGTATCCAGAAAGATATAATGCGAGCCCCGAAGATTTTGCTCAAAGATGGCACAAAGGCTTGGCCATCTATTAACGAAATCTCGAGACTAAGACAATATTTGCAGAGTTGTTAAAAGATACTTTTTAAATGGATCTAGATACAGATACATCGTCTAAAATAATATCTAGATACCTATATTTTAATCAAAAATCTATCTAGATACAGATACCACATTTTTATATCTATATCAGGATATAGATACTTGTATCTAGATCCTTTAACAACTCTGAATATTTGTATGGCAAAAATATTGAATTAACTTTATAAAATCGGTCTAAAAATCGAGCCGTTTGACAACGGTACTGGAAACTTTAAAAAATATTTCTTACCCTTGTGTTTTACTTTTTTTTTAAAAGCGGCTTTTGAATTCAATTTTTGGTTTTATTTAAACCCGTTCCGATATGAAAAGCAATAATGCATCGGAATAATATTCTGGCCATACCACCTTTTACAATCTTTCGTTATTTTTTAAAATGATCTTTGTTTATTGGTATTCTTAAAATAATTCTCAGCGATCTCTTCAAATATTTACGGAGGGGGGGGGGGTGATGATACTATCGCTTCTTGTTTCTAATACTTTTTGTTTATAATTTTAGATATTGTTAACAAAAAAAATTTCTTCAGTTTGATTATTCCATAAATTAATTATAATAACTCAAAACTAATGACACTATCGTTTCACAAAACCGTTCTTAAAATAATTGGACACGTTGTAAGGGAAAAAAATTGAAATTGCGTTTTATTTTTTGGCTTAGTTTAACCCCCCAAAAAAATTATTTTCTTCTAGCGCAAATCCTATTAGCTACTTAGTCGTATTATTAAGCTTAATATTTTATTTATATAAGCAACAGAAATTATATATATACAACCTTTTTTTTCTAATTTCAGCGACATACATCGGTTTTTTTAAAAAAAAATATCCTTATCAAATATCGAAAAAATATTATTAACCTTGCATTCCCATGGGATCGAAGGGGTATCCTCCTCCACCCCACACGTCTCCGCCTCCCCCCATAGACATGGGGTAAAATTGTTTTGGCGGCGCCGATTGAAATGGCTGGAGTTGCTTCAAAACCCACAAAATGGCATTATTAAATAAAAGATAAAATGTGTTATCAGAATTATTTTCAAACTTGAGTATTAAAAAGGAAACGAATTGGTGCATAAAAAAACGTATAGGGTAAGATTAGTTACATTATATGGGTTAGGTGCTCCAGCTCCTCCCATCCATAGAGACGGCCCACTGGGGGCGGGAAACCCGTATCCGCCTCCGCCAAAATCGCCTCGCGGTCCTCCGGCCATGCCGTAATAATTCTGGGCAAATTTTAGTGGGTTATTGCCGTCATTGCTCAAACCTCCTTGCTGAAAACTGGGGTAGCCTAGCGCGTTCTGCAAATTTTGCAAGTTAGGCCCGCTCATGCCGCTCAGAGATTTCGGGCGCATTTCCTGTCCGCAGTTGAAACAATTCCTCGGGGGTTCGGGCCCGGCCGAATCCTGCACCGGCGTAATATTCCCGCAGTACACGCATTTCGTCGAGAGTCTCGGGCTGTAAGAACTCCCGCCGAAATTTAACGGTGGCGCGCTATTATAATACGATGTTGTCATCATTTTTACCGCCTTTTTTTAAATTTATTTATTTTTAATAAATGTTGTGTGTGTGGGAATAATTGAGATCTTACTGGATATTTAATTTATAACAAATAGCATTAAAATAAATGGCGAAACATTAAAGATTATTTTTTTCGTTTAAAAATAAAATCAAATAAAAATGGAAATAAAATTTCGATGATTGTTGATTTTTCTCATTTTTTTCGAGAAAATATTGTTTCGAGATTTACGTAGAAGCTTTCGTTCGCTTTTTTTTTTCGTAAGTGCTAGAAGAAGAAAAAGAAATGTAAACGTCATCATCTTTTAAGAATATGTTATAATACGCGCGATCTATGTTACCTTGCGCGACGATTTAGTGAGAGATACGCGCGTGAAACTTACTTTATTTATTTATTTATTACCTACTAACATCATTTCCCTTCCTCTTCTATCCAACTCTTTAATTAACCGTCAACGCGGTGTCGTTTTCCTTTTACTTTCCTCTTTATAAAAAAGAAAGAAAAGCGTGAAGGCTCAAGGGAACCCCCTACAAATAATTTGTAAGACAAGGAGGGTAAACGTGATAACGTTTTGCCCTTCTCTAGGTTACGGAAACGCACTTAAAGATTTTGCTCCAAGATAGATATCTATTAACGAAATATCTAGGCTAAGGCAATATTTTTCTGGCGAAAATTTTGAGTTAGCCGTTATTAAAAATCGGCTCAAACTGGAGCGATTTTGCATCGCCAATATCAATCATTAAGACTGTTCTGGTTATAATTAATTTTGATATTGAATGCTGTTTAGCCTCTGTAAACTGGAACACCCTAATTTTGGTTTGTCTTTGGTATTTGCTGGCATTTAGTATTGTGGCAAACTCATTATTTTATCTAGAGAAATATTATGCAAGCCTAAAGAATTTGCTCTAATCTATCAGGCAACAAAGACAACATTTTTCTTGCGGGAATATTGAATTAGCCGTTATTCAAAAATGAGTTCAAATTGAGCCGTTTGACAAACACTACTTGAATGAATAAATTTAAACAAAAATAAGAAGAAATTGAGGAGAAATTCTCTTAAGACTTAATTTAAATTTCTTAATATAATTCATTTACAAGGCTTTTGTCCTAGACATCAAAAAATATTTAAATCGCAAAACTTTCGGAACTGTTATTGAAAAATAAATAGATAAGCTATTTCAAATATAAAAAATAAAAACATGTCCTAAACATAATTCTACGATTTTTTTTTTACAACACAAAAAAAAATAATAATAGAAAATCGAACTTTAAAAGTTTCCAAAAATATAAGAAAATATAAAGATTTTTTTAAAAAAAAATTCGCTATATGTTTTTTAATATCTAAAATTTGATCAGCATTCTACGCGGATGGATCCGCGTTCAGTTCGGTATGACTCGGACGGATATTTTCTCGGTCCCATTTCCGGTTCGGACCTTAATTTTAAAATCTGAAAAAATTATAATCAAGAATAACCACGAAATCGTTTATTATCCCTATAGTTTTTTTTTCCTGATTTCGTTGAATGTTCACTTTTTCAAACATATCCAATAAATGGGGAGGGGGGGGGAGCGGGGAGACTTAATTACCCTGCATTCACGATTTGGCGTGAATTCGCGGCACATGTATACAAAAACTATGAAATCAAGGATTCGTCTATTTTGGATCCTCGAAAAAAAAATATATGTATTCTTGGATTTGTTTTACTCTAAGATAGGGTCCGAACCTGATAGTATTAGCATTAGATATTACTATTATTATTATAATGCTTTAAAAAAATATCTTTGATGTAGAAATATTTCCATTTTTTTGTAATTATTCTAATGTATATTTTTATAAGAGAGATATAGATATCGAAAATAAGATTAACTCCAATTTGTCATTCTAATATATATATTTTTGACGTATTAAAAGGGATCCACTATTTTCCGTTAATTCCGTCGCCGAGATGGACGTTATACACGCTAACAAGAAGGAAGTGCCTCGCATATTTCGGGTGAGTTGAATGCGATTTATATTGCCCTTTTTTTCCTTCATTCATTATCAAAAAATGAGTAATGAATAATGTATAAGCGTCTAACGTTATCGATTATCCCCGTGTTTTTTGTAATTAAAATATTAGATAATCCTGCTAAATACTACAAATTGTTGTTGCCGAGTGACGTTTGTAGCTTAGTCACTATACAAACGTTTATCGAGGAACCATATTGGTCCCAACCTGAGATTGAATCTAGGGACCAATAATGCCCCATTTTTATTTTAACCCTAACTCGCATCTTATTAGCCTTTCTCTTTCAAATCTTAGCGGCCCGCTCGAGTAGGTTGGTTTTAGAAAAAAAAATCGGCCCTACTAAAAATGTCATGCTTTGAGTCACATACGGCACTCAAATCAATGATTTTTTTTTGTATATACAAGATTAATTTACGACGTTATCTAATATTTTTTAAAAAAAATCAATAATTGTTCAAAGTCTTGTATCCATTAATCCTCAAGTGAGTAACCCCCAATATACAATTTGTTATTAATCCGCTTACCATATACGAAGAAAGAAAGAACGAAAAAGAAAGAAAGAAAGAAATTTTATCTTCTAACTTTACTTCTTACTCATCCAATCACACCATTAGTCCTGGCTGGACCTAAGTATGGAGAGTCCGGGTGGGTCCTGCAAACCGGTATCTCCCTCGTATTCTCTAAGAAATGTGCCCAATTTTTTTTTAACCATAAAACCAACTAATTATTTATAACGAATAAGATTACCACATCTTCCTTCCTCCCCAACAACTCGCGGATGTATAACGACTCCAATAATTTCTATTTTCTGACCTCTTCAGAGATCGAAAAGCAAAGATGGCTATTCAGGTTAAATCAAATGCGGGACGCTTGTTGTTTGACGTCATCGTACAAATCTAATCAAGTATATTTATATACCCTTGAACGCCAATCATCTTTCGTCCTAAAATTATAAGTTCCAAAATGGCTAGCGTTAATATTAAAGTGGCGTCTTGTGATGATTTATATTTGTTATTATTTGAAACTAGCATTACTTTTTTTTTGATATCTTAAAACATTTTAACGCCAATCATTTGACAAAAAATTAGGTTCAGTTTTGACTAACCAAATAAAATTATTACAAACAGCTGATATCGGTGCATGTATGGTTAATAGATACCCTTATTTGAAAATAAAGATTTGATACGTTTGGGGACCCTCCCAATTTATTTTCCGTTTATTCAGCTCTCTAAGAGATGATATATGCCGGATTAGAAAATTCACCATATAATTATTAGGTTCCGATTTGAAAAACCAATAACTCAACTAGGAGAGGAGGAATGTTTCGAGATATGGATTAGTTAAGGAATAATTGAAATTCAAATACGAAACGGATAAAAAATGATTCGTTATTCCGTTCTTTCGAACGAATTGAAACATTAATACAACTCGGTTAACGAATACCATATTCGATTCATTCAAAAGAATCGAAAAATTTGGTTTTCGTTTTTTGAAATAGCCCTCAATTAGGATCATTAAATAAAATATAATTCCCTTGTCCTAACAAAAAAATAACTACGTTCTCTTATCAACCACCTCCTTATCTAGAGATTTTTTTTACAATTAGTATCAAAATATACTAGAATTTAAAAAGTATTTAAAACTTAAATGCAAATCTACTTATTAGTATTGGCCGAGGATATTCTTTCATAACATATTATGATTTCTTACTTTAAAAAATGGAAAAAAAAAGTATCTTATATATTTATTTATATTTTTATTTTTTTAAAAAAAAGGTTTTTAAAGTCCGGGGCATGTTGGAGAATTTTCACTTGGGGCAACTAAAGAATGCTCTGTGTTCCGAAATTATAAGTAAATAAAAGTATTTACACGAATTCTATAGAACAATACCAAATTATAATTTAGCAAAACGCATTTATAAAAAAAATGATTTAAACCTACTCCACTAAATCTCACGATCATTATTTTATTTTCTCTCTATTTTTAGACGAAGATAGCTTAGTTATAGGCACGGAAGAAGGGATGTATTATCTGATCCCGAGGCTCAACCATATCAAAAAGATCGGAAAATCTAAGAGGATCACCAAAATTCAGTACCTCCCTTCCGAACAGCTGCTGATCGTCATGGCAGGTTATATATATATAAATGTATATAGGTTACTTTACCGGTTCCCGTTCTAAATCGCTAAAACAAAAATCACCTAAAAATTGGGAATCATTTAACTAGAAATGTTTACTTACCTATCACCTGTTAATATTAATTTCAAATTTACCTTTTAAAATTTTTTCCTAGTAAATATTTGAGTGAGATTCCCAAATTTTTTTTAGCGATTTAAGAACCTATCCAACTTTACCGGCCACTTACTAAATAAGTTTAAGAATAAATATGAGCCAGTTGCGCCTATACCATCGATACCGACCAGATGCTAATAGTTTCGGACCAATAGTTTTTCCGATATAAACATTATGTTCTCTCGATATATTAATTTTTTTTAATATTTGCTTTTATCTACATGTTATCACTATTTTCTCTTTATTTATGAAAAATAAATTATAAAAAGAACATTTATATTTTTTTAAATGACGCACCCGCAAGTGACACGTGATGCCTAAATCGCGCGAAAATTTAAATGGCGATTTTTTACATTTTTTTGCATTCATCGCTTGAAAAGTACTTTGGGGTGCCATTTTTTTTATAGGATCCCACCACTTATAAGTAAATTTCAAAAATGGAGGATTTCATTTTTAAAAAAAATAATTCCGTGGGATGTCGAAGGTATAGAATTTATAAAATATTTAAGGCATTATTTAGTAAACCGAACGCATCACATCGATATCATACATTCATTTATAAAATCAGTTGCTGATCCTCCACAGATTCACAGATGTGCTAAATAATATTGATAATAAAGCATTATATATTTTTCCTTGGATCGATGTCGCACCTATCATATGGACTTGGTGTTAGATATTCAATCGTTACTTATATATTTTACCTTGGATGGATGTCGCACCAATCATATGGACAAGGTGTTAGATATTCAATCGTTACAGATTATATAATTATAAAGAATTTTTAAGATAATTAACAAAATCTTTGATCAAGTCCACCTTTTTTCAAAAATTCCTGCTTAAACATTTTCTAAATTTATGAAAAAATATTTACCGCAGGCAAAAGCAAACAGATTCATTTGCTGCCCGTTCACGCCTTAGATAACAGTAAGACGGAAACGACGGAATGGATAAAAATTTCCCAAACCAAAAACTGCCTCAATTTCACCGCGGGTCCCATATCACTATACGCCGAAGACGTCGCTAGAAGTTATAACCCCAATCAAAGCCTCAATAATCATTACACCTGCGATAAAACTAGCGCGGACCAAGGTTTTGTGAATCATTTTTTATATTTATCGATATTTAAGATTTATGGTCACGTGATTTTAACCAAGAAGGATCTCTCTCGGCTTATGCTGGATTCATAGTGGGATCCAATCCAACACGATTTAACAGCTGAATTTTAAAATCTTTTAAATTAGATCAATTAATTGAAAATTAGTAATAATATATAAAAATTGATCTCATAAACCGATTTTTAAAAAAAATTGATCAGCTGTTAAATCGTGTCTGATCAGATTCAACTATGAATCCACCCTTATATTCCATAGCATACTATCAGCAAAAATTGTTTCTAAATTGACATAAGTGATTGTCAAAAAACCTAGATCGTGACATAAGAATCGGTTTCGGCAATGACATGATCAAGAATTCCCGAGCCAAATGTTTGAAGATTCGAAGACCGACTAGTTATGTAGAGGGCCCTACTAAGAATTTTTGGCGGGGGGAGGATCAGCAGTCCAGTCTAATATTTCATATATCATTCCTGTCTGTCATTTTTATTACCTTGGCACCTTTTTTGAATTCCGAACTCAGTCTGAATCTTTTTAACTAATAAATGGACCAAAATAATTTATTATTTAAAATGGCGTCATTTAGGCAAGGCGGCTAGGATTGGTCTATATAGAATAGCCCTGTTTGGACTTTATAATAATATTTACCGGTGTTTTGGTCATTTACCACCAGTGAGTTCTGAGCGAACCCAACCATAAATTGATTTCTCGAGCCTTTGTAATTTTCTTCTACCAGCTTAAAATCGTTTTTACTCTAAATTAGGATCTTAATTTTAATTTTATGACCAATTATTGAAACACTTGACTTCTTTTTTTTCCTTGAGGAGTTATTAAATGGTTATAGTTAACTGTGTACCCTTTATACATAACATGTTGCGGCAAAATTTAGAGTACAAATGATTCAGGGCGTATATAAAGAGCGTAATTTATATAGCTAACCTAGCATTAAAATTTAAATATACGAATATCCTATTCTATAACTTTCGAAGATGATGACCCTCTCCCTAAACCCACGAAGATCTTTGTGCTGTGCGTGCTTTTCCCTTTCTCCAACACTGCGTTTCCTACCGACAACACTCATTTACCGCACCTAATTAACCCTAAAAACTTCGATCATCCTTACACACCTGCCCCACAAAAAAATGGGCTGAATGAACCACCCTTGACCCCCGTAGCGTTGCTGTTCGGGCTCGTGAGGACCAAGTTATGCCGGTTCGTTAAATTGGGTCAATTTAAATGCTCGCCGAATGTATCGTTAGAAAATCATAGTCCGGGAGATGGGGATAGCTGTATTAGCAACCGTAACTACACACCGGAAATTAAAACATCTTTTAACAACGTAAACTTGCGGCAGCTGATCAAATTTTTTCCGGATCCCTCCTTTTCGAATCAAACGGCCCTGGGGAACGAACGTAAAATGCAGTACAGTAAAAGTTTGCCAAGTAACGTTCAACTCAGTACAACCGACTTGGATTATTGTTCGCCCAAAAATTTCCTTTTCCGCGTCGCTAACAAGGGCGATAAAAATACGCTCAAGGTTTCGATTTGATCTATATATATATATACATTTTTATTCAAAGATTTTGACAATTCTACTCTAAATTTTTAAATCGAGGAAAAGAGGAGATAATGACTCTCCATATTATAGATAAAAGAGTTATTAAAAGATCGTTTTTAAATGGATCTAAATACAGTTACATCGTCTAAAACGTTACCTGGATACAGATCTAATTGTGAAAAATTTATTAAATGAGAGCTAAAAAATTTATTGACTCGATATCACATTTATCAAAATATAACTAAAATAAGTGATTTTTTTAGATTTTAATATAATAATACAATATTTAGATCATTATTAATCAATAAAAGCGTATCAAATTCTCCGAATCGCTCGATATACTGGATCACAAGTATGTCACCTTCGCCGGAACCGTGATCGATAGTAGCGAAATATCTCTCAGAAGCGAGAATCAACAACAAACCGCTTTATCGAAGCTAAACGAAAGCGGGAACAACAAATTTGCGCTTTTATTCGATTTGGCTTCCGTTTTGGGGCAGCTCTTCTCCCCCACAACCTATCGGGTGGATGCCATACCTAATCATAGTACGAAAAATTTATTCTCGTGATTATATAATTCATTTTTATAGCTAGTAGTAATGGCATCGGCGTAAATAAACGTTCAATTGAAATAAATATTAATCCTTTTTTTTATCTCCACAAATAAAAAATTTTATGAACAATTGTCGAAATTCAAAAAAATATATATTCCTTCCCCCCTCCCCCCCCCCCCCCGAAGCTTTCTTGATATTCCCATCGTCTTCCGATCAACAACGCTCCCCTAGCGACAAAATGGTGTCGAGCGAATTCCGTGGGGACATAAAAATGATTTTGCCGGTCCCGGCAGTCGCGAGGGGTCAACATGGCGAAGAAGAGACGCCTCAAACGCGCCAAGAATACTTGGTCGTGTTTACAGGTTTTTTTTATATCTTTTATTTCAAAACAAAAATGGCTAATTAAATCTTCTTCATACGTGATTGAGGAAGGACGTTTGTTCGAAATTTCGGTATGTTGTTACGTCAAAGAGATAATATAATGTTAATGTATTTCAAGCGATGTCTATTAGGGGGTGTACTTATATATTTTTTAATATAGCATCTGCAAGATGATTCCTATAGTTTAAGACCTATCATCTCCCGATATCGCTTAATTATTGCCCCACCCCCGATCCTATCATAAATCAAACTGACAGATTATGAAAATTATTAATGATTATCGGAGACCTACAGACACGGGTACACCGACCGGATTTTAATTTTTTTTTAAATATACCCGGGCCTGGCCGTATATTTTATAAAATGTTCGGGCCTGGAATATAAAACCCGGTCCATTTTAACCTGATATCATTGCCCGATGTCTTATTAAATTCTTTTTTATTTACTATATATATATATATATTGATTTAGTTTTTATTCTATCCCCTATAAACGAATGGTACATATTGGGTATAGGCCGATTACTTTCCATTTTAACCGAAATTGGCTGATACCTATTTGGTATCCCTATAGGTTAAATGAGCGCGTCACTGCTACCAGCATTTTCCCCATAATGTTTATTTTTTTTTAAAAAAATGGAATCGGCTAATTTAAGGTTATCAGCGGATATCAATAAAATCGAATTTCCTGAGAAAACTTTAGCAAAAACGGATCATTAAGATTTTTTTTGTAAAATTCATATAATCAACTAATTAGGGTAAAAACTTCCGACGATTAGCGGCGTATTTATATTAAAATATGATATAAATATAATCATTTTACAGTAATTTTTGTATACTTCGAAACGAATTCGCCGCTAAACTTTAAATGCAGATTAAGTCATGATTCGCGTTCCCTCTTTTATTAGGATTATTTCTTATTCTTGAAAATGAGATCTTAACAAAAAAAAACGCGTTTAAATTATGTTTTATTTCCTTCTTGGACAAAGAGATTATTTTATATTATCGAACAGATTGTGCCACGTACGTCAACGCAGGGGGCATGAAATCACGTGACTCCGATTTGATTTATCCTTCTTTGCCTATTTCTTTCGGTAAACTTTTTTTTAAAAATCATTCACTGGTCTTGGTCAGAATAATTCAAAACATTTTTTCTAACAAAATATTTAAACACGCGAAATCTTAGACGCATTTTAGAACGAATTCGCGGCTATGCATCGCGATTTGCGATTTTTCTTATATTTTTTTTTTATTACGCCTCTCCTCCCATTTTATATTTTGTCATACATTTATAAGCTCGCTCCGACGATTTCGAATATCTTTTAGCGTTATGCGAAAATCACGTGAACATATTTCGCGTTTCTTCTTGCTTTTGGCTACAAACCATAAATATAAAAAAAGTTCGTTTTTTTCCTCGATCCATTTTCGATTATCTTCTATTAAATAATATATAATTTTTTTTATTTAATATCAATTTTAATACCATATGAATTATGGTTAATTTACTTTAATATCGATAATTCAATTTGGTATAATTGTATGTTAATATCATTTTTTTGGATCAAATCCGGGGACGTGAACCTTTTCGATGAAATAAACCCGGGTTCAGAGATTTAAAATTTTTAAAAAGGGTTCAGGGTTTGAAATGCATATAGAAATAGATATTAATAAAATGATACCATTTGTTTATTTTTTTATTCTACTCCATTATAGATAGAATTTTACTCGCAAATAATCAAAAAAATTTATTTATATTTTAATTTTAAACGTTTCAATCAATTCAACACTTATAACATCTTACAAAATATCCTCTATAAAACATTCACTTCAAATCTAATTTTATTGAGTATCTTGAAAAAATTGTCTTGTGTCATAATATTACAAAATATCCTCTATAAAACATTCACTTCAAATCTAATTTTATTGAGTATCTTGAAAAAATTGTCTTGTTTGTATGTTTTTGTCATAATATTTTATATTTTTAAAAATTGATATAAAAACCAAGATAAGCAACTAATTTCTATTATATTAAATTATCATTCATTAATAAAATCTTACCTACAAGATGGAAAGATTTAAAAAATGCGAAGAAAATGAAAAATAATTACACTAATAAAAAATTATTTTAAGAAATTTTTATTATTATTTTTGGTACCCTTAACCTTCCGCTTTTAAAAGGGGTTCGGTTCAGCAAAAACATGAGGGTTCGGGTTTGCATCCCTGATCAAATCATTGTTATTGAATTGATTTGTTTTTTTTTTCAAAACTATTTACATGAACGTTTTACCAATTACTGTTATTTTTAGGCAAAATCTTTGAATATAACCGGGACTGTGATAATGAGCAATTACGAAGATCCGCCATGTTTCGGCATTATGACGTTCTCTAATAATGGTAAATATAAAATTTGAATTTATTAAACTTTTTTTTTAATATAATGTATTTAACGATGAAACCTCCAAAAAATATATTGATGAACACTTTAAGATGGCGAACTTGTTATCTCTATTTTGCAAAAATATCATTTTAAAAAAATGGCGCACCCATATTGGCAACCTTTCTTAATTTTATCAAAACGTATCACATTATCTAAATTTGTTTCACTGTAGTATATCAAAGACCTACAGGCCCAAACCAAAGCCTAAGCCCCCCATTATTATTTTTTTATTCTATAAACAAGCAATTATAAACTCCTGAACCAGGCCGAATATTTTAAAACTTAACTGGAAGGATATTTCACATTCATTCACTTCTCCTAATCGCAATATAACTTCAAACCACATCCTTTTAATTTGTTTCTTTATATACTTTGTTTGTTTCTAGGTAAATAAATTGATTATTAATTTCGAGACTAATGATATAATTTTTTATTTTACTATTTTTAGTCCAATCATTTACATACAACATTATGCAAAATAAAAATAACATTTCGCCAAAAAAAAGGACACCTTTGGTATTTAAAAATGCGAAATAATCTCCATTTTGGAAGAAAAAAAGAAGCTATATTGATATTAATTTGATTTCATATTAGCTATAATCAAAAACGAAACCGTTAAAATGGCGAATTCGTTATATTTTTCTATTTTTTTATATATCCCGGGTCAGGGCCGAAATATTTAATTTTTTTTATATGATATATAGAGAGTTTTTTAAATACACATGATTAATTTCATTGATTTTTTTAAAAAAAAATTTTATCCGCCGTATTAACGCAAGGTATTAGCGATGAAACATTCAGAGTCAACGCGGAATCGTCGCGTAAATCGGACAAGCTTCATTCTAGCAAATACGTCAAAAATCATAACGCCAGTAAAATGATGGATTTTAAGGCTAGGAATAAAGTCAAATTGCTATTTAAGAGAAATCAAAATAATTTTCAAAATGGCGCCAACGGCGTTATATCCTCGTGTAATGGCGACGAGGGAGGCCTGGTCTGTAAAAAGCTGTCGAAACTTATATCGGAACCCACCAACTTCACGCACGTACATCATATGGGCCCTGGAGAGGGCATTAAGTTGCAAAATATGCTGGATCTACAAAAAAAAGTATTTTTTGTTTCTTCAAATAAAATAGGAAAATAAAAATTAGAAGTTTTTGAAAATTTACAAAAAAAATTTGATATTTTTGTTCTTAAAGTTTATTTTCAAAAATTATTTTTTTTTAAGGCCAGTTCGCCTTCCCTCGAGAAGTTAAATAATTTCAGTCCGTACGAACCCATTATTCCTCCAAATTCCAATTTTTCTATCATGAGCGATCAAAGCGCGGGGAAAATGATGGCTCTTAACGGCTCTAGCGGGAAGATCAAGGTGGGAAAGCTTCTAGGTGATTCGGAGAGTAACAGCTATTCCTCGACTTCGTCTACCAATAACGGCAATATAGAATCTCCCATTCTAAATAAAAATGGCGCGAACACCATAACATCGTCTAAATCGTCTTTCAGTAATAACGAGGACTCTCAGCACTCTTACAAAGCAAAAAGGCCTACATCTAAATTCTACTTTGACGAATAAATATACGGGGAAATCCCTATTTTCATTGGTCAAGGGAGGTCCAATCCCTTATATTGCACAAATAAAAAGGCTAGTATCAAAGCCTCTATTTTTTATTGTTCATAGAAAGACCCAAATATCCCATATTACACAAAAAAAATGCCTTTATATTTTTTATATGAAACATTTAATTTATTAAAAATACAAAACAAAAAATTAATTAATTTGTAAAAGTGCAATTTCTCTAAAAAAATATTTATATCGCGTAATATTAGATTACATTTTTTTTAAATGTCTGTTTTTTAAGGAAAATATTGAGTATTATAAAAACGCATTTTAATGAAAATCAATAATTATATATTTTTATATCTCCGATTAACAATGACAATTTTAAATAGTTGTAAGTCTATTTCTTATTAGATCTTATTTTATTTTTTTGATTTTCATTCTCGCGCCAATTCCTCCTACTTTGGCAGAATCTAAACTATTTTATTATTTTTTAAATCAGATGTCGTCCCGAAATAAATTTGTGCTCACGTCTTAAATTTTTTTAAAACTTTTATATTGTTTGTTTTCTTGGTGATTATTTTTATTTTTTTAAGTCAGTTCAAATTTATCACTTTTCTTATTTAAAATAAGTATCGCATAGTACCGTTACCTCATATGAAAGAAGACTGTGCCGTTACTAATGGCGTTACTTTCTTCCACATGTTTCCCAGCACTTTATATTGTTTTTTGTTTACTGTTGGTATTTCTTTTATTTTTCGATACTCCTAGTGTAGTTGGGTAATTATTTTTGCCTTATTTAGATTTTTTTTACCAAAAAAATATGACCTCAGTGTTTTATTTTCTTTAAAAGAAAACAACTCAAATTTGAAAAGGAACTAATAAAAATTAAAACGCCTCATTATTAACGGATTTTTTCTTCAGCATATGCCTGAAGATCTAGCCTAAATTTAGCCATTAGCCAACTATACTTGTTAGTACTTTACTAAGTTGCCAACACAACCACCTTCATGCGCTCCTACAGCATTATAGATAAACTATTTATAAAAAAATACCTTGTAAACATTCGAGTAAAATAGAATTCCGCGTTTACTCATGAAACTCAAAATATTAAGTATGGTTCATAATTTAAAAGAAAAAAAATAAACCCTTTAAAACGAAAATGCCGAGATCTCGGAATAATGTTTGAAACGCTCTAGCCTAATTATTTAATTGTTAAGAAAAAAAAATTTTTAACTACAAATTAATCAGAGCTTTTATATTATTCGCAAAGTCTTTATATTCCAGAAATCCTACATTTATTTAGATCCTCTTCATTTTCCCTTTTGAAAAATTTCATAGAGATTTTGGAAACTTATAAAATCTTTCCTATATAAAAATTTTAAATTTAAATCTAACCACGTTGAACTTTGGGAGATGGGGGGAGGGCGGCATCGACTTAATATCCCTATATAACCTATCCCCTTCCTTTTTCCTATTTAACAAATCATTCACTAATATCTAATTTCGTATCTCCCAACTATAACTTACTAGATCAAGTTCTCACAATGTGGCAAAACATCTCTCCTGATACATCCTTTCAGACAATAGTGTTTCACTAATAATATTAAAAACTTCTACAAATAAATCTTTTTCCTTATCTTTAGATATTCAAAACGAAGATAAAATCGGTGGCCACGAATGGCTGGAAGCCTTGCTGAGCAAAAATCTGATGAATATCTTAACCAATCAACAACTAAGAGTGACTTTAGGATATAGATTCTGATAGACCTAGTTCAGTCCCATCATTGCATGAACTGCAACCTCCTAGTAAATGACCAAGGAATACATGGCGTCATTTCCATTAGAAATTAAGGTCGTCATTAACGACACTTCGATAAACTATATTAAGCCTTCTTTTAAAAATGACTCGCATACAAATATTCTAGTACCTTACAGCCTCTCAATAGACGAGTGTCTAAGATCTGACGGCCTGGCCATGGGCAAATCCCTTATTTGAGATTATTATATGTTTCTCATCCTCTCCGCCAATATAAATAGCAACTTGCTTACACAAGTAAAGAGACTACAAAAAATAGACAAATACAAAACCTCTGCAAATTTGTATTCTCCCCAATAGAAACTTCTACTAACGGACAGTATCAACAGTTTTTTTTAAAAAACCCAACTCACATAATTAAATTACAAATACCTAAACCTAGAGATTTCCTATTCCTTCGACAGAACATACAAATAAATATTTTTAAATTTCGCTATTCTTCCTTTTTAGAAACCCAACTTCTCTTAAAATAATTTTCGGTTCGAATTTTTTTTTATATAGCTTCATAAATTCAGAATATGTTTAATTTACCCAGGTTAATAAAAAAAATACTGAGGATAAAATTAACTTAATAGTTCTAAATTAGTATAATCTTAATTTAAGTGAGCGAATATTTAAATAATAATAATTTAATTTGTGAATTCTTCAAGGCACCACATTGGCTTAGCTTTGGCAGCCACTGTTCCTCTCGACTTCTGCGCATTTTTACTCGGGTTTCCATTTTTGTGATTAATTTTTGCTCTCTTTTACCGGCTGAGATCCAAGTTTCTTTTTAGCTCCAACGGAAGCAAAGCCTAAGAGTATCTCAAGCACATGATGCATTGGAAATATAAAGCTGAGATAATTGCACTTTATTATGTTTAGGAAAATTTATTAAAGCTTTAATTAAAAGTTTCATTGTAACTATTGTTTTGGAAATAGGTCTTTATACTAATAAAATCACTGTATTGATAATTAATGTCTTACATAAAGTTCGTTGATCAAATAAATTAAGTTCTAAAAGATCTTGAATATGTAAAGGTTCATTTAGACCTCTTCTAGTGTAACCTTTCAATTATTTAAGGGTTGCTAATTTATTTTATATAAATATATCAAGGACTTACAAGGCAGTGGCAAAACCTTTAATTGGGCTCAGATTTCAATTTTCCACAAGCCTCTCCATAGATTTTTAAAAAAATTGGTCACTTTTTCTATTTTTAGACCTTGCCCTTATTTTTAAAATATTAGCCATGATATACGATGTCACTGGATTTAAAATAAGTGGATTTATATTGGAGGCTAAATTATGTTTGGCACATCGCTAATATCTTGTTAAGATAGCTTAATTACATATAGTAAATTATTTTCTGAATTAAGGATATATTTGGATTCCTCAACTTGAGATTGAGGATCTTCTCAATTCGGCCCAGGCAGATAATTGTTTACAATTATACCGAAAATATTTCTTTTTTTTCAATCCCGATCAACCTTCTGATCTTGCTAATTTCGGATCGGATTTATATCTACTATTTTTTTCGAAACTTTAACGGGCGAAATCAATTTTGGTGACAAAGACATAGATAAAGTTCTAGAAATTCTGGATGAAGCTAAGAAATACAAGCTAATCAACTTGTTGACAAATGATTAAGAGTTGAATAGATTATCATCTTCAATTCATCCAAAAAAAGATAGGGAAAAACTCATCTCTACGTAAATATTATACTCATATGTAATATTTCCTAATAAATTAAACTTCCTTCTTCTTTTTTTTTGTTTATTAAAATGAATTTATAAAAGATTATTTGATTCGAATGAATCGGACACACTAAATAGTCTGATTCGTAAACTAGTATGCATATTATATTTAAAAAAATTATATCTATGATGCTTTAAACAGTGTTAATGGAGGATCAAGCAGCTTTCCCTAAATGGCGAGGCCATAAGTGTAATAAAAAATTCATTCTATCATTATAAATTTAATTACTACCATAACCATTCCGAATTTTTATTTTTACTATGTATGACATTTCATATACCATGATACCTACTAGCTCTGCAAGGACCAATCCGAATTCGGGTTGGTCGGATTCTAATTAACGTTTTCTCGAATTGATGACTTAGGACCTTGACAAAATTTTATTTTATTTTTTTAGTATTCCTAATGTTTTTCCGGTAGGGCTTATAATTTTACTACCTAAAAAAATGTTTGTTAGCGTCAACGTGTTATATTTTCAACCTTAAATCATTTTTTAAACGCGTTTTTAAAAATTTAAAAATCTGATTTTACCGGAAATGTATGTGCCATCATGTTTGAAATACATACCCTAAGATCTTCAGACTTTTCCATAAATTTTTAAATTTTTCCATATATTTTTTTACATAAATTATAAATGATTTTAAATAAATGAGGTGTATAAAATATTTTTCACCTCATATTATAATAGAATTTCTAAACGTGTCTGGTTTTTAAATAAAATCCTTAGAACCGACTAAACTTAGTTTCCTATGCCATATTAAATTTTATTCGATATTTCATTTGTAATATCTTTTTAATAAATATATAATCATAAAAATGATTGTATGTAACTATGTTATAAAGGGAGTTTGTGGCCTAAATGGCCATATTTTAAATCTGACTACCATCCTTTAACATTTTATCTATTGGACCTATTTCTCTCAAAATTTGAAAATATGTATATTTATGATATATATCTTTCTTATCTAAGTTTATTTATTGAACAGTAAAATCCTATTTAAAACAATATTTTTTAAATAAACTGTTTAGTAATTTAAATTAATGATATTTTATATAAATATTATTCTTTAGGCATATTAGAAATATTCACAGAAAAAAAATTAGTTTACAAGTTTTATTTAATATTACCTATAATAGATAATAGAGATTTTTTTCAGTATTAAGTAGTGTTGTTAAACTGCTCGATTTGAGCCGATTATACCGCTCAAAGACCTTCATGGGCAGGGCCGGGTATGGGCCTGATATCATTTTTTCTAGCGGGTCTGGGCCGGGCCTGGGTTTAAAAATTTTTTTTTTAAATTATTATTTTTAAATTTAAATTATTTAAAACAGTTGCTAATTTAATGAGATATTGCTTCTTTTTTCTTCAAATAATATTAAATTTCAGTATTATAAACAAAATGATTGCCTAAATATATTAAAATATTGTTAAAAAAAAATTTTGTATATGGGCTTGAGCAGGGCTTGGGAAATTTTTGTGAAGCCTATTATGGGCTTGGGCCGGGCTTGGGAATTTTTTTAACATTAAATATGGGCCGGGCTGGGATTAGGCCAAAAAATTTTTTTACTGTGGACCTGGCCCGGTTATGGTCAAAAAATTAAGGTCCATGAACAGGGTTGCAATTTTTAAATTATGGGGGATATTTGGTATTATGCGAGAGAAATATAAAAATTGCGGTAGAAATATAAAAATTGCTAAAAAAAATTTTTTGCAGG